AACGCCATTTACCAGAATCAGTGTTGCCCGCAGTGTTGCCAAATCAAAGACAAGAGGAAAAACAGACACTTTTAACTGAACAGCCCACTTGAGAGAATCAGTATTGCCCAACAAAGGGAAATAGGGAAAAATGTTCAGACAGCTGAACTGTACGATTTCACTTGTGAGAATCAGAGTTGCCCGCAGTGTTCCCAAAAGGGAGAGCCGGAAAATACAGCAGACACACTGAAATGATCAACTCTACTTGCCATAATCAGTGTTGCTCACAGTATTACTCGCTGTGTTGCCCACAGTTTTGCCAAAACAACGGATAGGGGGAAAAACAGGGAGAAATGTAATTTTACAGATCTAAGTATAATTTTGGAGTTCTAAAAGATACGTACGTATTTGTTTACATTTTAATCACAATTAATAAACAAGGTATTAAACATCTTCTATATCGTAATACACATGTAATTTTTTTTTTAGTTTTTAGAATTTAAAACGCCATATTAAAGCAGGTGAGCTCAAGCTTTTAAATTATTTTCAACTTCCTCAATCTCGTCAAATTTTTATCTACCGCGTATCCCTTTTTAAGCCTTGGAACCTGACTGTCGAGGAAAATAACGAATAAAGAATTTATACTGATGTGTTGACGTTGGACCGGTTTGCTTCGAGAATTCTTGCCCTACCATTTATCATCATTAAGGTTTAAGACTGCAAAAGAAAAGGAAGAAGTTTTGTAAGTCCACCCAGTTACGTACTGTGATAGCCCAGGAAGGGCCATCGTTTTTCAAGAATTGATCCGTGATTGCGGCCCACGGCAGGTTAATTTCACGTAATTTAACCGCCCAATCGTGTGATTCGCCTTGCTAACGTCTCGACTCTTTGTTCACAGGGGGACTTACAATAATGAAGTCTACCTCATTGTTCGCGTTTCTTTACGCCTTTCCATTAATAACCACAATGGAAACATTTAGCCAGTTTTGGAATCACTGGGCATGTTGAAATGTTTCTTATTATTTTTAAGTTTAACCTTTACAAAAAATACAAGTAAATATTAAATAAATTACAGTCTGAAAACTGGGAAATGGCCTTGCCGATGAAAGTTGTCAGTCGGCAAAATCATAAGAGATGCTTGCTACCCTCCTTTTCAGCACTCCTGTTAGTTAATCAACTTCAGGCTGGATAACAGTAGAAACAACGTGATTTTTTTTAATAATAGAACGAATAGCCTCACTGCCCGGAATCAGTTTCGCCCTCAGTGGTGCCAAAACAAGGGATGGAGGGGAAAACAGAATCAGCGAATAATATCGTAACAAGTCGACGATATATGATAAATTTTAACCTGCTTTCGTCGTCAGCAGTTTGATCCTTCCTGATCCGTTATTGCAATGTCTGTTTATTTATTACCTTAATTTAACTAACATTTCAAAACAAAATATTATTTCATTATAGTTACAAATACTTTTATTCCGCGGGGGGAGGGGGAACTCTACTTTGAAATCACATAAAATTAATGGTCCATTGTAACAAGCTTCCCTTGTGAAAAAGAAGATACTTATCATTTCTTAGCACTCCTGGTAGTTGTAGGGAAAAAGTCACCCTTCTTTACCTGGATTGTTCGCCCTAGTCTTTTGAATGCTACAGGTTATAAAGGTAACAATTAATGTGTGATCTGACAATTGAACAGTTGTGCCGGACTAAAAAATGTATACTTAATGCTTGTATATGTGACGATGAAGGTTATTATGAAAAATGCATTGTGTTTTGTAAAACCTGTCGAGGCCCATAATACCACAAAATAAACTGATAACAAATTTGTTTGTTAACTTCTACAGGTCGAAGATAACAAGTTTGATTAATTTTCATGGTGAGATAACTGACGTGTCAAGTGCTTGGTATTTGTTAGGTAAAAATGTATAGAAAATTTGGCTTCTTCAAGCGCAATTGGGTGGCGATTTTACTACATGTCTTTTTTTGGAACTCCTGTTCTTTTAAGTTATAATAGTTTGTTAATGTTGGCCTTTTTTTGTTACATACATTAAACAATTTAGAATTACTAATACTAACTGGCTGAAAAAAAGAAGCCTCAAAAAATATATTTCTCGAAAAAGTTGTGGATTTTTCCGCCAAATTGTCTCCAAATTTCACCACTTATCCGAGAAAAATGGACCCAGGCATTCCCACCGCTTAGAAAAATTACTTGATTAAAATTATTTGAACACTTGCCGCAATGTTTGCTAAGTTTCTCTGGTGGATTCTTTAAGTCACTTAAATCTCATTTTTCCAACAAAACCGGGGGTAAAACACTCGTGGTAACACTGCTTGCAACACTGTTCCCGCTCTGGTCTCTGCCAGTGTTGCCACTATGATGAAAGTTAAAATATCATGTAATATCTGATGATTACTAAAACAGTAGTTACGTTTTTTATTCGCTTAGAAAGAATAAAGTCATATATTGGATTAGAAATACTTAATCAGCCAATAATTAACAGAAGTAAGGAAACAAGGAAAAACAAAATTTTCAAGATTGCCGGCAAAACCTAATCAACTCTCTCACCACTCAAAATGCAAAAGTGTAATAATGATCAAATATGAAATACACTGGTCATTATTGAGGAAAAATCCCCACCCATGGCAACACTGCTTGCAACACTGTTCTCCCACTCTGTCGTCTGCAACAATGTTACCACTCTCTTCGAGTAGCTTTGCATTATTCAATTTCCTGAGATGGCCAAATATTTGATTTTTGTTGTTGCTTTATTTTGTCGTTTTTGCAGCTTCACGAGTCAGTTGGTAAACTGAAAAAAAATCTCCACTGCTCTGAACACTTTTCTCACACTCTGTCGTCTGCAACAGTGTTACAACTTTTCTCAAGTAGCTCGGCTTTATTAAACTTCCTGAATTGACCGAACATTTAATTTTTGTTACTTTTGCTTTATTTGGTCGTTTCTCTTGCTTCACAAGTTAGTCGGAAAAACAGGGGAAAATCCCCACCCGTGGCAACACTCTTCTCCTACTCTATCGTCTTCAACAGTGTTGTCATTTTTTCAAGTGTTTCTGCATTATTATATTCCCTGTTAGGACCGGGTATTTGATTTTTGTAACCTTTCCTTTACGTTGTCGTTCTGTTGCTTCACTAGTCAGAAGGAAAAACAGGGAAAATCCCAACCCATGGCAACCATGCTTGCAACACTGTACCCCTCCCTGGTGTCTGCCGCAGTGTTGCCATTAATTAAAAATCGAGCCTAAATTATTTAATTGTCTTGTTTTCCCCCTATGAAACTAATGCCGAATTTTAGAGTAAAAAGTTTATTGATCAACCAATAATTAAGTTAAGTAGGAAAACAAGTAAAAACGAAATTTTCAAGAGTGCCTCAACAAAATAATATAAGCGTTTATTTTATCTTGTCCTTTTTTTCCTGCATAGCTTGTTCTGTTTTAAATGTTAGTTCTGATGTGATGATGTTTACCACATTGACAAAGCGGAAGAATCCTGTGGTACCCGGCTCATTTAACTTGTATTTTCCAAGGTTTCAAACTTTCGCCTGCTGAAGAACTCGCCCAATATTTCGTGGCTGCCTATTGTGTTCGCCCTTGGTCCATTCTCACTTTGCATATTTAAGGCCTTATGCAAATTTTAATTAGTGCTTCCACTTCTGGGATACATCAATTTGAAAAAAAAAAAAAAAGGCCAAGGTATAAAATGTACACTTGGAAGAGGTAGCAATTTTTCCGTTCCTCTCCCGTTTTCGAAGGGGCAGAGTAAGAAATGAGTTCAAAACAAACTACTCGGAAGCAACACTCCGCTTGAGGTGAAGGTATTTATGAAGATTGGAACGACTAGGTGGAACCTGGAAGACCGGTTAGCCCTCAAGACGGCCATCCTACTATACTACAAGTCTATCAAAACATCACATCTACATTAACTCTATTCTGACTCGTAAGCGGGCCTTTTTTCGCGTTCCGTTTTATATAAAATTTTATTAATCTTTATTAACGGTTAATAAGCCCTTGGGGTCTCTTATTAAAGGCGATTTCCCGTAGTTATGATAGTTTAAAAAAAGGCCGATTATCTTTCGAATAGATCGATCAGCTTTATTACGTTTCGACCATTTTGTTTGTTTAATTTTTTTATGTTGTATAAATTATTTTGCACTGTGAGACACATTTTCTGTCCAGTTTGTATTGTTATCGAATTAATTATTAAAACATAAAATACGAAGATTTCTGTTTTTTCCCTTTTAATCGGGAATAATTATCTTTAAATTTCAGAGTGAACATCTCTCTACATCGGAAATTATAATCTTCAGCTGGTTATCCGACTCTTTCGTAGAGGATAATCGCCTGGAAAGGTTTCAAGCATATTGAATTTTCAAGGTTATAGTGGAATGTGTGATCTGCAATAATTCTAAACCGTAAATTGTAACCTCAGCTGGTTTTCTTTTATCACGGAGTAGGATAACCAGCTGGAGGTTACAAATTTGATGTAGAATGGTTTTTCTGTCAGCTCGGCTCAGCTACATCCAAGGAGTAGGATAACCAGCTGGAGGTTACAAATTTGATGTAGAATGGTTTTTCTGTCAGCTCGGCTCAGCTACATCCAAGGAGTAGGATAACCAACTGGAGGTTATAATTCCGACAAGAATTTATATGTACTTATTTGTGGTGTATTGACATTTTTTTTAAATCGAAAAAAGAAACCGAGTCTATAAAAATGTACATTAAACCAATTCATTTATAGTAATTATTATTGTTAATAATTGTTGATTTCTCTTTAGAAAATGGTAAACTTATTAGGCCGGGTTGGGAACCCTTTGTTGGTCATATTTCCTTTTTCACGTCATTAGTGAGAAGACACAAAGGCGTAACGCAAATTAATAGTTTCACAGGTGTGCCAATTATAAAATGAAAATTATTATAATTGTAATTATAGTAATTTTAAAGGGCATGTATGCAAAACAGCTGTCAATTTTGTTGTTGCAATTTGTTTTTAATATCTGTCCTTTTATTTTCAGATTGCGTTCAGGATTGGACTTGAACTTTGAACTGGGAGACGTTGCAAGTGAGTAGAAGTAATCCACATTTTGAAACAAGAGAAAAATGAAAACATGAAGCCCAGAAATAGCAAAGCCCGTGGAGGAAACGAAAGAAAGACAGAGCGATTTTAACAAGACTGAGGATAGGCCACACTTGTCTCACCCATAGCTATTTTCTGGAGGGCCGTCGACTAATTACTGTCTTCTGTTGACTAGGTTCAGTCGTTTTTGGTATGAATGAGAGGAGTGGACATCGGCGTACTATTAAGTACACCAGGGGCCCCGTATTTATCTTTTATTTGTACATAGTATAGCATGTGTGTAGACGAATGAGTGTATTTATTAGCGAGATTGATGATGGGTGCAAGGGTACTTTAAATAGCTGCAGGAATTGGTGCGAATGAAAGCAGGCGGTTCGTACCTCGATGGCCTGTTTGTAGGATTAGTCTTATCGTATGAATGAGAGGAGTGGTAATCGGCGGAATTCTTAATTGTAGGTAGTATGGCATGTGAGTAGACGAATGAGAGTCGTTATTAGCGTGTTATAAGTAGTTATTGGTTAATTAATGAGTGAATGAATATCGATTGTATTATGTGCTAGTATGTGAAGGGTGCAGATGTGTGCCAGGTCATTGCAACCATAAGTGCCATATGCAGAAGAGGAAAATGCAGAAATATTAAAAATGCCGGCTATGATCTAGCTGTTTGCCGGCAAAAGGATTTGGTTTTTTGTGTGATTATACAGCGGATTGATTCGCCCTTTAGTCTGTATGCAGTGGTAAAAAAACACTTCTGACTAAACGAGCTTAAAGACGATAGTAATAAATCTACAGAAAAATTGTAACATATTATTTTTTCCTCCCTACTCTTCAGTGTTGTGTTTAAAAACTGTTGGGAGAAAATGAAAGTTGTAACGCATCATCGAAGGTAAAGGTGAAGAACTATGTTTGAGAATGAAGTTTCCAAGATGGAGGTTTATGGATTGGCGCCAAACGATGAAGTGTTGCCAACATGCGGGAATAAACATTTCAGAAGCAACACTGCGCCCTACCCTCACTGGATTTACCGCTAACCGTTAAGAAATTCAGCTCAAATTAAAAGAAATTGGTGTTCTGATTATTTTCCTAGAATATTAAAACACAAGGAATAATATGTCTCCACAAAAAAATAGCAATTATGAAAGAAATTTCCACTTGAAAATTGAAATTTCCAAGCTGGGGATTTGAGATTGGCGCCAAACGAATCTGAGCTAAGAAGGAAAGGGTTAAAATTCGCAAGAAGAACATTAAGTTCAACCAATATCTTCCCTTAGTGGTGAAGTTCCATCGAAATTAAAGATTCCAAGATGAATTCTAGATTGGCGCCACACGATTCAGTGTTACCAACACACGAGCAGGAACACTCGCCCGCCCTAAACTCACTGGATTTCCCGCTAAACTTTAACAAAATTTCTAAAGTAGTTAATCTGAGCTAGCATTAGGATAGAAAGGGTTAATTGCCATTAGAAGAAACTTAAGTAAATCTTTGGGTAAAATTAACACGAAACTTAACTTAAAAACACTATTGTGGTCTGAAGTAAATCAATAAACAATCCATCTTAATTTGCCAATATTGTTTCAGCTTGAGGATGAGATGGTTTCAAAAAAACTCTGACGCTCCACGCTTGCTGAGTTTATCTCCTCTGAGACAGGATGTGGAAGGGGGTTATTCCGAAGTGCAAAGATCCCCGTTGCCATCGCCTAGACATAGATCCCGATTAGGTCTGTATAAGTTTTCGTTTTACAATTTTACAAGAAGTATTATAGTTTTTTAATATACTAACGTATGTGATTTTCAGATTTATCTCCCATCCAATGGCAGCGGGGTTGCAACCCTTTGAACCTTGGAGCCCAGTACATAAATGTAGACGGTCAGGGTGAAGGCGAACAGCAGTCGGCCAACAGTGATCGAGAGCTTGCCCTGAGGGCATTTTCAAGAGAGAAAAGAAATCCATTGCTCGAAAAAGTTAAAAACACAAAACTCTCGTGCTTCGCATCGACAAAGCCGACTACAAGCAGCAGCACTGAAGTTTACGACGAGCTGACCCCGTCATTCAACACGGATAACGATTTTTTAATACAGCAGAATAGAAATTACAAACAAATTTACAAAACAAAAGCAGCCTCTTTTGAAAATCTTTTAGACGACCCTCAATACAACTCCAGCAATAAAAGGGACAACATAAAGTTCGACCATCATGTCACAAACTACAGCCAAGATCACCCATTTGTCGGAGAATCGAAAGTCGACACTGGAAAAATGAACCAATCCAATACATCTAAACTGAGCAATTGCGAAGAGCATGCCAGTTCTTCTTCCTCGTTTGGAACCAAATTCCGCACTATGTCTCAAAAATATTTAAAAAGTTCTACCAACAGGTTTCTGGCGAAGCTGTACAAGCACAATGTACACAACATAGAACCCACGACTCAACAAAAAGGTCCCCCGGTCAAATCGCCCAATAAAGCCAAACTGAGAAGTTTCTCTTACGGTGCTCTTCCTGGGATGGAAGAATTTCAAAAACAGCAAAATTCCAACTGTAACGAGGAAGAAATGCAAAAATATTACAATGGAAATCAAAGGCTAGAAGGCGGAAATTATTTCACAAGAGATTCCGAAGACAACGACAGCGGTATTTTAGTCAACACATCCGCGACTTCATCAGTAGTGGGATGCATAGTTCCGAAAGCGTTCCACGACGATAAAGTCGAAGTCTGCCACATGCGAAGCGTTTCTCAAGACAGCCCTCCTGACATTGATTACCAAAACGTTAGATATTATTACAATGGGGCGAGAACGCCGACTAAATTGAACCAAGCGAAATGTGATGAACCCCAAGGGAAGGATTTCCCTCCTCCTATTCCTCCACACCAGCCTAGCTTTCCACGAAATGACAAAAGAGAATCTAGGGTGAAAACGTTCATTCTGATCAGGTTACAACGATCCGAACCGAATGAAAACCTCGGCATATGCATAGCGGAAATCGGGAGTCTGGCTTCTCAAGGATATGTAATTGCCCACATCGTGCCAGGAAGTTTAGCTGACAGGTTATTAAACATTTATTTATCTTATTATTAATAAAACATTTATGCTGTCTTTTATAATGTTCATAAAGTTTCATAGACTGTTTTTAACAGTTGGACTGGATACCAATTTTTTTGCGTGACATTTTCGTGTCATCGATTTTGCGTTATTCACGAGTTGGTTAGGTTAGGTAGGGTTAGAGTTAAGATAGGGTTAGGGTTAGTATTAGGGCTATGTTAGGGGCAGGTTTGATTTGGCTTAGGATTGTGTTATGTTAGTACAGTAATTTCTGTCATACAGGACCGCTTAACGTCCAACTACATGAACGAGAAGTAGAACCACTTCACAATCCTTTTACTATGCCTAGATTCCAACCTAGGACTATTAACGTGTCTAGCCTAGGTCGGACGCCCCTGATATGATTCTGTAAGTGTTAATGTTAGGGACGGGTTAGGTTAGATATGATAAGATTTAAGTTGAGGTTAAGTTATATTAGATGTAGGGTGAGAAACGGGTGAGGTTAAATAAGGTCAGGTTAAGTAGGGTTATATTAGGGAGAAGTTGTGTAAAGCTTAGGGTTACGGTTAAGGTCAAGAAGAGATTATGGAAGTTATGTTAGATTTAGTGTTAGAAACGGTTTACGTTTAAGTAAGGGTAGAGGTTAGGCACTCATTAATTTGGAAGAGTTATGATTAGGGACGGATTACGTTGGATTGCAGTTACAGTAAGGTTAAGTAGGGGTAGTGTTGGGATTAAGTTATGATAGGGTTAGGGTTAAGTGTAATTGGTTGATTATGTTAGATTTAGTGTTAGAAACAGGTTAGGTTGAGTAGAGATAGGGATCTGATTAGGTTAAGCAGGGATACGGACGGGTTAGGGCTAACGAAGATTTGATTACATATTTGTGATTCAATGTTTTTCATCCTCTATCTTTGCATTATTTGTTTAATACATTGATCTGAAAAAAAATCTTCAAAACAGTCAATTTAGAAATTAGAACTAAATTTCTACTTTGTTTACGGTAGTTTGAAGAATTCCTGGTCTACCCTAAATTTGACGATCAAAATCGTTGTGTAAACTTTTTAATTCTATAAGCTTTTTTTTCTTACAGGGACGGGACATTGCAGATTGATGATGAAATCATAAATATCAATGGGAGGCGGCTGAGGGGAATGGCTATAGAAAACGCAAGAGAAGCTATCTTCAAGGGGCCCATTCAAGTCGATATATTAATCGCAAGAACAATAGAATGGAAAATAAGTAAAATGCAGGAGAGCAGTGTCGACTACGAAAACGTCATGATTTATCCTCCATCCCCGTTAAAGTCGAAACCGGGGTACGGATCGAAACAATTGGAAAATTCCTTGTTGAACGGAGGCAACTTCGACAAGCAGGGCTCGGACAGTTCCCTCTCACCTACCGGGTTCCAAAAGCACAACACCCTCAGCCATAAAATGTATCGTAAAAATTTCGAAGTCTTTTCAGGAAAATCTATGAAATGCAACACGTTCAACGAAAAGAGCCACGGCAATTTCGTCAAGCAATTGAACAAAACCGAAGACAACGTCGATTCCTCGTTTTGCACACTCCCGAGGAGGCCGAGGTCGAGTATTTACTCATTGTACACGTTCGTCTTCGAAAAAGGGCCGGGGAAGAAAAGCCTCGGATTCACGATAGTCGGAGGGAAAGACTCACCGCGGGGTGCCATGGGGATATTCATCAAAAGCATACTTGAAAGTGGTCAAGCAGCAGATGACGGCCGTTTGAGAGAAGGTATCCACCATAGATTGCATCTCATTCTCCTGGAAACTATTCCATAGTCATTCTTATTTTATAATTATTATTAACTTTAAATCAAATTTTCTACCAGGGGATGAACTCCTTGCTGTCAACGGTCAAGTGTGCCATGATATGACCCACGCAGACGCTGTTGCACTTTTTAAGAATATCAAAAGCGGTCCTATTGCCATCCACGTATCGAGACGAGTTCGTCCAGTCAAATCGTATGTATTTTTCACTTTATGACTTAAAAATAAAGATTAAAAAAGATAAGCAATTCACAATCACGATCTACAAAGGTGAAAATTGATTTGTTTTATACAGCATAAACCAGTTTTGATGAAAACCAGACAAAAATCTTGATTCAAAACATTGCCTTCGAAAATGTTGAGGTAATTTCAATGAAGTTGATTAACACTGTTCCTGACTGAAACTGAATTAAAAATTGAATGAACACCCTTCCTGTCAGAATGAGTCTTTCAGCAGAACACTTTTATAACTAAATTTTCCTCTTTAATGCGCACTTTAATTTATTACTACTGGATATGTTTCACATTTTCCACCGACTTTAAAAAGTGTTTTTACTAACAGCAATTCTAAAAACTAATAAGGAAAACAATTCGTTTTTTGTTTTTCTTTTTATCTTCTGCAAATCACTTCATTTTCAGATAAATTTCGAATTGATTAACTAATTTTAAGCTTTTATGGTAAAAATATCATGGAAAGTCGTATCTTTTATCTGCTTCGCGGAAAAACATTCATATATGGATGTTATGAGCCCTAACCCTGCATAACCTAACCTTACCAGTCCCTAACTCCGACCAAACCTATCTAACCTAAAACCTTAGGCGTCCTTAACTCCAAATGAACTGCCTAACGTTATCTACCCGTCCCTACCTGCCTAACCTAACCTTACCCGGCCTTAAGACCAACCAGACTTACCTACCTAAACTTTCCCCTTCCTAACTCCAGCAGAACCCACCTAGCCTAACCTTACCCACACTAACTCCAATCAAACCTACCTAACCTAACCTTACCCGGCCTTAAGACCAACCAGACTTACCTACCTAAACTTTCCCCTTCCTAACTCTAGCCAAACCCACCTAGCCTAACCTTACCTACACTAACTCCAATCAAACCTACCTAGCCTAACCTTACCCACACTAACTCCAATCAAACCTACCTAACCGACCTTAGCCACAACCTAACAAAGCCTTAACCCCCCCCCCCCAACCTTAACCAAACCGGTAATCGTCGATTTCGCAAAAATAGTAAGACAGAAAATTGTGTATACGTTACAATTTTTAATTAAAAATTACACCTTCATTCTGATTAATTAACAAAACTTTCATAAAATTCCCAGATATTGTTTAATAAATTCGGTATTAATTTATTGTGTGAATTTTTGGTTTTTAAATTTCAGTTTGAGATATGTTTGTTGGTATCTTTTTAATATAAACAAAGAATAAAGTTGAAGGAATTACATTATGTGATTTACACACATTATGTGACATGTTTGCACCATTAACCTGAATATCTTGCACTTTTCACACTTGGTTTATGTTAAATTTGAATTATTTCTTCTAATAATAAAAAATAATCAATTGCACCTACTTCATGGTAAAATACTGCTTTATATACGTTGTATTAACGTGACTAATAGTTAATTCTTAACATTTGATTGTGTTAATGTTTTTTTCCTAATAATCTAACATAAAAACTTGAATGCAATATTTAATCAAATCGTTCACAATTACTGTAAATAGATTTAATTTTTTTTTTTTTTTTTTTTTTGAAAAGCATAGTTTTTCTGTATTTCAATAAAATATTTTGAATTGTATCAGTATTGTATTGAACTCATTTTGAATAGTATCAGTTTAACCTGTGGTTAATTATTTTATCACAATTAAGGTTAATCACATTTTTATAGTTTTTTTTAAATTATATAATTGTGAAATTGTGTCGACTAATGTTTTTGTTATTTCAGAACAAGCAAGGCAAAATCCTGCATGGACCTAGTGCAATCTCCAACATCAGAAGAGAGATAAGATTCATCAAGACTGTGATAATTTGTAAAATAGTTAATTTTTTTAAACAGAAATAAACATTTTCATGTATATTAACTTACTTAAATGTACATACTAATGTGTACCTAGAAAAAAATACTGGTACTTTTTTTTAAACAAACTATTTTATATTTTAAACTAATTAAGAATTGTAATTGAAACAAATTATAAGCTGCTGTAATTTTTGCTTAAAAAATATAGGTTTGATATGTATTTTGTTGTTAATAGTCCCATTAGATTGAATTCAAATGATTCCAGTTTAGCTGCCGGTCGTTGTTTTTGTTATAGTTCTAACAATGAGCCTAGATGAAGCAGAAAATCGCTTTTTCAAAATTATCATCAAAAATAAAATTAGTCTGTCTGAATTTTCAATAATATTATTAAATATTCCCTTGGCAATTAATTTTAGAACAAAGACGATATTTAAAAAAAAAATGAATAAGTGTCACTATTCAACTTTTAAGTAGCGATAAACTTTAACAGTTTTAAATTCAATATAAATGTTTATTATGATCTTAATTGTGAATGATAGTTAAAAAAAAACTATAAATAGAAGTGGCCATCTATATATTAAGGCATAATGCCAAAGATATCAGTCATTCTGTAATTTTTATTAAGCTGTATAAATTTTAGGATTAAATGCTAAGTAGAGAATCTTTTGATAACTTCTTATGTGCATTTTTGTGTCAAATAATGTTTCAATTTGTAAATGTGTTCATTCGCATTTTCATTTTGTGATTCAAATATTATAAATTATTGTGATATATTTTTTTTATTAAATATGGAATAAATAGCTTTTTTTAATATACTGTTGTCTTTCAGCAAATCTAACTCAATTTCAACTGTACAGACCATAGAATTATTTCTGCTTAAGCGCCTCCAGGCATGCGGTATTCGCTGAATGCCGCCAAATATTTGCCAAGTCTCTAGATGCTCGTCTTGGCATTCGCGAAATAGCATGCCTACATATACACACATGCGTATAAAATCATAACCTCATAGTTGTTGTGGAAACAGGGAATACATATTTTCCAAATGCCATGGGAGTCCTCAACTTACTACAAATCGTGATGAGCAACAAGGAAACTGTCATTGCTGCGGTTACTATTCTGTGCAGTGGCTACAAACTAATAGAAAAAATATATTTAATTATATTTTTTATATTTTTAATTATTGTTTTATTTATAAAACAATTTATGATTTGTAGAAGCTTTCCAAATTATTGGTTGTTTCGTAAACATTGAGGAACTCCAAAACTGTTGCATTGGGTCAATCCATTCCTAATAAGAAAAACAATTGTTATTCTGTAAATGAAAACATCTATACTAGTTAGCAATCGTTCATTAATGAAAAATAAATAGTATTAAGTAGACGTATATGCTTACTGTTGATTTTGATAACAGATGACAGTAGTTAAAGGTACGTACAGTTATAGTTGATTCCCAAATGTGTGGATGGTTTGATTGCGGTTACTTCACGAATATTCGTGCCCTTTGAAGCAGATAAGAAAACGGACAAAAAGCCGAGCACCGGATGTTGTTATTCGGCGAATAGCCGAGTGTTCATCCACATCAGTCGGGATTCGGCGAATACCAAATGTCTGGAGCCGCCTTTAGGGCAAGAAGGAAGTCAATAAATTGGCCGTGGAAAGTTCAATTGGGGATACATATCAGCCCTGAAACCTTCTGCAGATTACTAGAACGGTTAACCGTAGTTATAAATTGTTTAAAGGAAATATATACATGGATGCGAAAAAGTTCATTTAAGCACAATTGAAGTAAACTAAGGATGCGTCACTAAGTACTAGAATTATGGTAGGACTGCTGACTGAACAAGCAGAAAGAATAGAGAAATTGCCAGGAAAAAAAATAGCAAAACATCCTCTGTTGGTGCAAAGGCTGCAGGATGAGATTTCTACTCTTGAAAGAGGAAAAGCCTAGACTTGAATTATACAAGTCCTTAACAAAACTTTGAAATATGGTAAAAGTAACAAAGAGCTCACCTAACCTAACCTAACCTAGTTTCTAACATAAGCACTCATATTTTCAGCAAACCCAACTCCTAATAACCTAACCTAACCTAACCTAGCTTCTAACATAAGCAGACTGTCATATTTTCAGCAAACCCAACTCCTAATAACCTAACCTAACCTAGCTTCTAACATAAGCAGACTGACATATTTTCAGCAAACCCAACTCCCAATAACCTAACCTAGCTTCTAATATAGGCAGCTCCTAATAACCTAACCTCTAACATAAGCAGACTGTCATATTTTCAGCAAACCCAACTCCTAATAACCTAACCTAACCTAACCTAGCTTCTAACATAAGCACTGTCATATTTTCAGCAAACCTAACTCCTAATAACCTAACCTACCCTAATTTCTCACATATGCAGACTCTTGTATAAGTGCCGGATCCATCTTATTCCCTCTTTTAATTATTTTCATTTTCATAAAAATAAAGTTGTCTTATTCCAGAATATAACCTTTTGAAACATATCTAAACACCAAAAAGTTGTAAGGAAGATAAAAAAACTCAATTGTAAAACTCAATAGACATGATTAACATTATAAAAATTATATTCTTCAATTAAAATAAAATATGATGGAAACGACAATTCGTGAATAGATATAAAACAAAACAAAATTTTATATTTGTGTAATGAATCAAAAAATAATACTTATCAGCTTATACCATTTTAACATGGTTAAGTTTAACTAAATTAAAAAATTAATTAACTAAAAATTGAAACATTACCAAATATAATAATCAAAAACTTATTATAAAGTAACATTTCACAGCCATATATTTTACACTTTTTTGTTTCATTAAAAAAAAAATGTATGCTTTTAAGTTTTGGTATTTGTCGACTAGTTATCTTTTTGATGTCGAATTATGACTTGAAAAAATTTTTCTTGGTAGTTTTCCTTGTAAACTAGGTTCAAGCGTTTTGACAGGGTACGCAGTACATAGCGCTCTTCGTTGGAGAGACCCGCACCTGGAAGAATCATCTGGTGTGTTTTCGACTGGGCGAAGTCTTCCAAATAGGAAGAGTACTGTTTTTCCAGGTCTTCTAGATGGGCAAGATCAAAAGTCGGATCGTGAAGTAATGCCTAAAACAATACGGCGTTAAAATAAGTCGATGATGTTCTACTCAAAAGTCTGTTGGATTAAAACAAACCTCAGGAATATCTGGTTTTTCAATAGGAGTTACACCTAAAGCTTTAGAATATAAAGCTTTTTCTTTCTCATAATACTGCTTTCGTTTCGTTTCAAGCTATAATAAAAAAACATTTTGTTTAGATAATTCATTGTTTATCAATATGACTTTCATATCGAGGATGTCATCTATTAAATGAAATAATTTAGTTTCTTAAAATTAGTTGCCGGATGTTTCGATCAATATTTGACTTCTTTACCTTTATCAAAGCTTCTTGTATGTCTGGGTTCAGAGGCAATAACTTATTAGCTTTCTTGTAACATTCGCTCGCTTTCTCGTAGTTCAACTTGTTTTCATGGGCTTTGCCCAGGCTTTAAAAAAATATATAAATAAATAATAGATAAAGACAGAAAAGAACATAAAAATTCTGAATTTTTACAGCGACTATGTATATAAAGGGAGTGTATTATGTGACATAAAACAGAAAGAAAATAGAAAAATAAACTTACTGGCTAAATTAGGTAACGAAATAAGACAAGATAGAAACTTCAAGATTGAAATAAAAAGGTACTACAGAAGCAAGTGAGCAACATGTGGTTATTATAAACTTATAACAGAAACATTTTATCTTTTGGTTATTTGCAACCTCTGCTTATGTTGTCATTTACTTAACATACCATTCAACAAATTATTTTATTCAGCCAGTATAAATGCCGTTAATTTCATAGCACCAGAAAAGAAACAGAACAGATTATAACTTGAGTTTTTTTCTTCTGTCGTGGATTTTTAGATGACTTCCAAATCTCTTTCCTTTTCACCTCATGTATTTACCGGGTAGTAATTGCAGGCTAATTTAGGGAAAAAAACCTTAGTTTTTTACATCAAGCTTAAGACAAAGAAGAAAATAAATTTTATACTGGTGCTTTGGGCCTCCTTGAATAACAAAAAGTACAAAATTTGGCAAAATTGGTATCAAAATGAAACGTACTAAGTTAATTTAAAAACAACAAAAATTAGCCATCCTAGGTGTTAAATTGTAGAGGCAGGAGGTAGTCAAAAAGACGACTTGGTAGTGGGTTTAGTTGGAAATGATTGAGGTACAGCGAATGGAGTTAAGTAAGGAATTCAGGCAGGCTCTACAGATCAAATGGACGGGAATAAGTGATGCAAGAGTGTATAGAAGACTTAAATGTTAACAGATTATAAAATATAAGAAGGGGAATGGGAAAAAAATTTTGGTAGAGGTAGGAGCCAAGAAGTATAGCCTCCGATGGGGCTACAGCCATTTCAAATCATGAATATTAGAAACACAAGATCACTTTGGGGAGCTAACTATGAACCGGAGAGAGCTGTTTATGATTCTCTTGAGTCACAAGGGAGGAGACCAGAAGTTTGCGGGTGCTGATTAGGAAGTCGGCTTGCATTGGGGAAACAGCGGAGATTTGGGATATATGGGGTTTCCAAGATAGGGTTCGATCATGGGTGATCCCAAGTTTTTTGACAGATGTATAAAAGGAGATTGGCTGGTTTCAAATCGCAGAGTGGAGGAATAAGAGGGGTAGGACCCAAAACATGATATCCTGGGGCTTATTGATACTGAGAGTACATTTTCAACTGCACAGGATCCGATAGCATTTCTTAGATTCATATGATTGAGATTTGAATGTCATGAGGTGAAAAGGAAAGAGATTTGGAAGTCATCCGTGTAGAGGTGAATAAGTGCAATATTTAAAGATATTAGGAACTCGAGCCTTGAGGCCAGTAATGATGGGCAGTGGAGAGCAAGGGGACTTGTCAAGGATGAGGACTACTTGCGAATGGGCGAGAAAGAATGAAGCCATTAAATACCACTGCAGAAGAAGAAAAGGGAATTGAGTTTAGAAAGAAGAGAATGTTTATAGTGTCAAAGACTTTAGAAAAATCAAGAAGGACAAGAAAAGTAATTTTCCTTGATTCATAGACATCAGAAGTTATTGTTAAAATAGCCGATTTGTAGATGAAAGTGTGGATTGAAGACGTACAAATAAGTTTAAAGATTCTAATTAATTGGAGATTTGAGAATTAACTAATTTTTTTCAAGAGGTTTACCGAGATTATAAATAATGGAAATGGGGCAGAAATCATTCCATGATTTGGAAAAAGGGAATTTTTTTAAGGAAAAGTTATAAATGTAAAGCAGTACAAAAAGATGGTTGAAAGACAGGACTTGATCAATTTTACTGGTAACTGGACCAATTGCGTTGGCCTTATGCTCATGATCATATCTATTAATGAGTTTGGCAAGATGTCAGCAGAATAATGGGAGGATCGTATGGGACTGCTATGGAGGGATAATTGGTTATGAAGGCCAGTGGAATGTGAAGACTGAACAAATTAAATTCATCTGGGGATGGTGGGAAAATTGGAGGTGCTTGGGATGACTTCCAGCGGTAGAGCTTCCATAGAAGATTCCACTTGGATTTGGGGTTAGGGTCAGCTTACAAGGAATATCATCCACTTCATCTGGACTCTGAAATGATTAATAGTAATTCCTATTCCTAGAAATGTAACCCATTGTGACCTGATGCAGGTCATCCATCCAGCAAGTTGGACCAGTTTGGTCTTCATGCAGGTCACCAGCACTGACCATGGTAATGCTGACATCACGCACATCAAATCATTAATAATTTTTTTTTTTTTACTATTGAAAATAATTCTCAGACCATTTTAGCAACATGATTAAGTATGAATATACTTTTTTTAACAGGCCTATTTTTGAACATTTGTCTTTTTTATTGGACTAAGAAAAAGGACAAAAATGAATATTAAAAATTCATTCAACTATGGGAAAAGGTTTCTTAAGTCAAATTTACTTACTTGAAAAATAATTTGGCTGATTTGCGACACTCTTCACCCACGAAGACCATAGCCTCCTTTGCCACTTCTAACACTTTATTCGGCTGGTTGATTTTATTAGAATTATAACAGATGATCATGTTAAGGTAAGTCCTAAAAAGCAGCTCATTGTACTGTTTTTCTTCTTCGCCGGTCAAAGGTCGGCATTCTTTCTTCAACACCTGCAAGCTTTTCTTATAACTGTAAGTAATAAGATTCAATATTAAATAGAACAGTTAAATCCAAATGGTAAATTAAATTTTAAAAAATAATACTTTTCCAAAGCTGCAGGTATTAGATTATGTACAAAATGGTCTTTTGCTAAATTTATAAAAGCAACTGCTTTTCCTGACAAATCGGCAAATGTTTTTTCAACTTCAGAATCATCTTTATTTAACGCTGCACCACAATCGACAAAGTCAATGAGATCGATAACGTTAAGAATGGTAGCATCTGCAATTATGAATAGGATAATTATCAAATCCATTTTTTTTTTTTTTTTTTAAGTAATAAAAGTTAGTTCAACTTAGTAGTTGTGAAAAAAGTAAAATTGTACAATTTAAACTTTTGAAATGTTTATAACGTTTGAAATTTATATTGTAATTGGCTTCACAGACTTGCCAGATCCTTTTCAGCGGATGGGAGTAAAGTATAAAGAAAATTTAGCATTTAATTGTATAAATTCTTATGAATTTCGGTATGAAACTTACTCGGAGGGATACGAGGTGGAACGCCATATTTACCAAAGGCCAACTGCGGTTCCACCAAAAATTGTGACCTTTCACCTTTAGACATTGTTGCAATAGCGATTTCCATGCCTTTATATAAAACTCCTGCCCCAAGTTGAAAACGGACGGGTTTTTCACTTCTCAAGAAACTCGAATCGAACGGTACCTCTTCGAGTTCTAGGTAAGAATTGTAGTGTATATAAACAGCAGCATAAGATGGCACCTTATCAGTCCCATGACGAATTATCTAAAAAAAAGTGTATTTTATGATGCCAGTGTTTTTGGAAAAAAAAAATATTTAAGTATAGAGCTGCTGTAACCCAGTACTTTAGTGATGAGCATGGTGTCAACACCTTAACCATTGCGGCCACCCACACCCCCTATAAAGTAAATAATACAAAAACTAAAATACCTTTTTCCTCAGTGAACCGTCATCAAGGACATTGAACATCGACTCGACCATACTCGCAAATGGCGATTTGCCAGAACATTCTTCCACATTGCCGAGACAATCCATATTGATGACTTTGGAGAAATCTTCAAAGCTGTACACTTTATCGATGCGATGCTCTTCCTCGTCCCCTTTTGGTAGTTCTTCCTCGTTACAGTCTATTATAAAATCACTCTCATTTTCATTTAGCAGCCGGCTGGGAACAACATTCATTACAATGTGTGGTGATTAGTGACTGTTAATCGATAATTATTCAGAAATCGTGAGATGCGGTCTGGTGTGATGTAGGTTTCAGAAAGACATTTTCTTTATCCAATGTTTCGATCTTTATTGAGATCGTCTTCAGGGCTCAAAGTGTGTGTCTTCTGTGTGAATCGCACAATTATGCAGAAAACAAACACTTTGAGCCCTGAAGATGATCTCAATAAAGATCGAAACATTGGCACGATCAAGAAAATGTTTTTCTGAAACCTACATCACACCAGACCGCAACTCACGATTTCTGAATAATTAATTCATTACAATGAAAATAACAATGCTTATATTGTTTTCTGACAAGTATTTTATTCAAAAATCAGTAATTTTTAAGTTTTTTTTTTTTTTTTTTTTTTTTTGGCGTTATGAACTATGCATATTAGCCATGTGACAATTCATATATGTGTGTTCAAATTTGGGGGGGCTATTGTGAAAAAAAGGGCCAGAGGCGACGGTGGGAATCGAACCCACGACCGCGGCGTGAGAGTCTCTCATGCTAACCACTCGGCTACCGCGGTCCCCTAATTTTTAAGTTTAAACCACTATACCATTTTTTTTTTTTTTTTTTTTAATTAAAAATAAAACATATTGCATACCCACAATAAAAGTGACACAACTCAACAAAAGATTTTACAGGAAAGATAAATGGAAGTTTACTTTTTTTCACTTACGTATTAAGTACTCACAATTATGATTGTTGGCAATAAAAACTATCATGATCCTTCAATATTGTCTTTTGTTTCTCCAAGACTTAAGCGAAAATAAAAAACTTTAAAAATCCAGCTGAATTTTTGTGTTTTGACACTTTTCTTCGATATATTGGCTGTCAGTAATTTAAGTTAGTTTGTTTGCTCTAACAATAATTGTAGTAACATTTACTAACCGAATGCGAACTATTGGCGTCGCACAGAACAAAGTGTGGCCTTTCCTCGAGTTTGAAAGAGGTTTTACAACACAGCAATGACAACAGCAAGAAAGTAATCGAATATCTGAAGCAAATAAATGCATATGGTCGCCTTTAATGCTTCTCCACACGTGGTTTCATTTTCCCTTCCTGAAGAGAGTGTATTTATTGGCGAGAATGTGTGAGTGTATGGGTGGGTAGTGGTCGGAATATCGAGTACACCACAGACCCACCAAATTAGGATAGATATCTCTTTGTGTGTTTTGGGTAGAATGAATGTATTTATTGGCGCGAAAGTGAGTGTGTACGGGTGGGTTGTGCAGGAATATCGAGCACACCACAAACCCACCAAACTAGGATAGATATCTCTTTGTGTGTTTTGGGTAGAATGAATGTATTTATTAGCGTGAAAGTGAGTGTACGGGTGGGTTGTGCAGGAATATCGAGTACAACACAAACCCACCAAACTAGGATAGATATCTCTTTGTGTGTTTTGGGTAGAATGAATGTATTTATTGGCGCGAAAGTGAGTGTGTACAGGTGGGTTGTGCAGGAATATCGAGCACACCACAGACCCACCGATTTAGGTTAGTATTAGGCTATAATATCTTTTAGAGTGAATGGGCGGAGGCACTTTTGTAATATTAAATGTGCCAGTGGCTCTGCATTTTTTTTTTTTTTTTAATTTGTAAATACAGAATGATCGGGTACAGTTTGAGTGAATGTATTTATTAGAGAGATAGTAGTGTATGCATGGGTGGGTCTATGGTGGAATATCAAGTACCCCATAAACCCACCAACCTAGGTTAATATTTTAGATTAATTGAAATTTTAATTGTACATAATGTATGGATGTATTTATCATATGAATATCGAATACTCTGAAACCCGCACATGAGGCTAGGCTAGGATTGAATGTTAGTAAATGAGATAGTTGCAGAGCCTTTTCACCGTGTGGGAGGGCTAAAAATGTAGAAATAACAGAACACAACCAGAAAGATCGCCAGACTTCCTACAGAAAAGCTAATTTCCAAAAAAAAAATGAAATAAATAAATAAAATATATAAATAAATAAAAATAAATAAATTTTTAAAACGTGAGGTGGAAGAAATGTGAGGTGCCGGCTATAGCCCAGGCAGAGCCGGCCAGGGAGGGGGGAAAAAGTGGTCAATGAATGTTTGAAAGGGTATTATTTTTTTTATATAAAACAGACAACATACAAACAAACCAGCATAAATATCCATGAAGTAAATTTCACTAAGATTATTTTTGACCCAAATGTGCTTTCCTCCTGGAGTCAGGGTTATTTAAAATACAAAATGAATTATTTAAATTAAAGATAAAAAGAATAATTAATTGGGATAATTAATATGGTCAATTTGACTACAAAGCAAATATGGATTAATTCAAATAAGTTTTTGTTGATTGTTAAAAATATTGTAATAAAAACATTAAACAAATCGTTGAAACTATAAAATAATATAAAAGTTAAAAGACAACACTGTTAAAAAATTATGAAAAAAAACAATGTAATAATTAAGAATGTTATTAAAATAAAAGAAATGATACTAAAATAATTCATGAACATTAGCTCAAGGTATGGTCTTGAAGAAAAAACCATATTCAGTTATTATTGCCAAGCCTTCGACATATTTTAAGGTCATTATCAGGGCCTATATTAATTTCACATTGCGAAAAACATTGTACAATTGATTTAACAATTGTTTTTCATAATGTGAAAATGTGACTCCGGTACAGCATACAATCAGTAAACAAGAAAAAAATGGCGTAACTCAAAATGCGCGACTTTTCCTGATAAACTCACACCGATGCTTTAAAGCTAGACACAGAGCTAAGACATGGCACTTTTCGTTAATGGTGACAGTACATTCCCAAATTCAAAAGTGACACATAGTGCTGCCTAGCAGCTGAGAGTCCATCTTCAGTTGTGTCATTTTTCCTATAGCATCACACAACCGAATACTTTAAAAAACTAAATAATCCGTTTTTATAATTTTTCAACCTGTCACTTTTGTTTTGCAGGTGTGTGATTGTAAATTAACAATTACTTTCCTATTTTAAATTTATATTTTATTCCACAAAATAGTACTTAATACAAAATTACTATTAAAATATGTGTTTAAACAAAATACAAATATTTTTAAGCCATGAAACTACAATAATCTAATAGTTACCTGATGACGTCATCCTTGAACGAGATACCTTCTGTGTTACTCATCTTTCAACCTAAAAAAAGAAAAATTAAATAAATAAAAAATTTCGAAAAACATATTTCCAGTGTGTATGACTATAAAGTAAAAAACTCAATAGAAGAAATTTTTTGAAAAATGTTAACTTCAAAACTAGATTGCTTATCTCCTGTTGTAGCAGAAATAAACATCAATGAATTATTAAACTAACAACTTTTATAACTAAAGTTAAAAAAGCGGAAAATTTAAGAATAATATTCCTAAAATAAAATACTTAGATGACACCCTGATATATAAGAAGACTATAATCTAATGTCGGATTTACTGAATAAAGAACATAATAAAATAAAATTTACCATAGAAATAGAAAGCAATAAAAGTATACCATTACTGGATTTTTTAATTACAAGAGTAGACAGAGTTTCTACATAAATCTACATAAAAGGCCTAAGGCAAACGAAAGAATACTTAATTATTTTTCACTACACCCACACAACCAAAAATGTAACGTACACAGAAATTATGTAAGAAGATGTTTAAAAGTTAGCAACTATTCATTTCACAAAAACAAATTACAAAATATAAAAAGACATTACAAAAAAATTATTATCCAACAAAATTAATTAATATAATCATTAACACAGAAAATGTTGGTTACTACATTTTATAATGTAGTAACCAATGACAATAGTACGACGACCAAACCAACAAAAACAATATAAATCCAATAAGGTTTATAGGCCTTTATAGTTAATGGCCTGACAGAAAGATTATTAAATATTAAATTCACTAATTTCGTGGTCCGCTTGACCAATTAATATATTACAATTAATTAAGGTTTTTAGTTGAGACAAAAAAATCAATGGCACGAGCGGGATTCGAACCCACGATCTTCGGCTAGATATGCCGCTGCTCTACCACTTGACCTTGATCCACTCGGACATCAACTTCCTATCTCAACCCCACCTTATGAGTTTTCCCTCCTTTTTGCCATTTTTCAAATGTCGTGTAATCTGGATTCAATTCTCGGCGACAAATAAAATGGCCATGGAGAGTTTAGTAAAGTATACTTCATTTTTGCTTATTTATTAGGTTTCGTGGTCCGCTTGATCAAATAAATTCTTTTTCAATTAACGAGGGAACATTCAAAAGGTGGGGTTGAGATGGGAAGTTAGTGTCCGAGTGGATCGAGGTCACGATAGCTCAAGTGGTAGAGCAGCGGCGTATCTAGCCGAAGATCGTGGGTTCGAATCCTGCTCGTGCCATTGACTTTTTGTCTCAACTAAAAACCTTAATTAACTGAAATTATTAAATATAATTTAAAAAAAAAAGGAGAATGGAATAAGCAATTTATTTTTACAACTAAATACATAATCAGTTGAATAGGTTATTACCACCCATAAAAGACATAATAAAAAAGTTAATAACCGCAAAGTAGTTTATATGATAAAATGTTCATGCAACAAAAAATATTTTGGGAAAACAATACAACTGCTGAAAAAAAAAGAATAAAACAACACAACAATAGTGCTATACAAGGACAAAATGTCACTGGACTATCACAGCATGTATTAAACCCAAACGTATCATAGATTACAGTAATGTAAAGCTTTTGGACAGAGATCGGAATGAAGTAAATTTAATGTATTGGAGAGCATACACATATATATGAGTGAAAATAACATCAATTTACAGAAAGACTCCAAAAAGGTAAATGAACAATATAAGAATTTAATAAGTATGTATAAAGATAGAAATAATATTATTTATTATATTCTTAATAGTATTTATTGTACATCATTATTTTATTTATGTTCTTTGTACTGTTAGAAATAGAAATAGAATTATGAGACCTCCTAGGAGGCCTCTGGCCTCTCCCTGATAGATTAGGGGGAGTCACCCACTTTGGTGCCTGAGCGACTCCGAGGTTGGGCTCTAGTCGGGCGCCATCGACTTATTTGGTCATTTCGGCGCCCTTACATCCCCTAAAACTAGTCATTCTCACACTCACCCATACAACAAATACATACATACTCCTATATACAAACCCAATCTCACATGCATATCCTATGTCTAGAATCCGAGTCGGAGGGTACTTGATATTCCACCCCGACCGGGCTTAGTGGAGCCTTGAAATAATATGCTGCACCGCCGCCCAGCATACTCCTATTCTAACATAAACTAAATCTAAATTTTAACCTATGAAATAAATACACCACTATATACAACCCATTATCCCAATATCTCTTAAAAACCTAAAAAGTTTTCCTTAAACTTGCTGCCATGCTCGAGCAATCTCGGGGCCAAGCTGCGACACCGTGAGTCTGTCAACTTGGCATGCTGGGCACCTAGGTCGACTTGCGCGAACCAACAGGTACCCATGAGTCGCACATGTGTGACCGATCCGCAGGTGGGTCAGGACAACGCTTTCCCTTCAAGATATCCCCTCCGGGCTCCACCGGTTGACCGTCGGCTTGACGGACACTAGCGCATCAGTCGAGTCAGCCCAACAACGCTTCCACTTGTCTAATATCATATTTTTCACTATTCTCTTAGCGTCATCAGGCTGAATCGGGGTGGTCTCAACATCATCTCTGTAAGGAACGGGAGTACCCACTTTCGCGGCCAGGTCCGCTCTCTAGTTCCCCTCCAGACAGACGTGTCCTGGAATCAGGCTAAAACCACCCTTTTCTCGGCGCGCACATGTCCGCATATTTCAATTGGTTTATGCCGACCAGTGGATCCCGTGTATAGGGGTCTCTCAGGGCTCTCACCGCGCTGAGGGAGTCAGTGCATATGAGAACAGTTTCGTCCCCCATAACCGACACCCCCAGCATTGCGGGCCAAATCGCATACAGCTCGGCGGTGTACACACTCCACTCTCTAGGGAGTGGGTGGGAGGAGTTCTCCTCCCGTGTGTACACCCCGGTCTTAGAGCTGTCTTCTTTGTACTGTTATTTATTTAAATGTTTATTATGTATGTAATTTTGTGTTGCGCGAGGATGATCCTAAACTTCACAGAGGTTCTTAGAAGGCATAATCGAAGAACATGTAGTGCCATTTGCCCCCCACATCGGTGAGAGATTCTTGCTAATGCAGGATAATGCCAGGCTCAATAGATCACATATTGGCTTGGTGTCGCCAGCTCAAAGTCCAGATTTGAACCAAATCGAACACATTTGAGGCCAATTTAAGCAACGCGTACGATTGTGAAACCCAGGTCCTAACACTACAGAACAATTGGAAACGGCTGTTCTTGATGAATGGGAAAGAAATTTTATCTGAAATCTTTTCCAAGGAATGCAAAAGCGTTTAACGGACATGATTCATGCCAGAGGTGGAAATTAAAGGGGACAATTTTTTGCTGTTTTTTTATGATCAATAATTTTTTTTAGAATTATGTAATAATCATTTTCTTTTTCAATGCCTTACTTTTACAACCAAACTTATTTTTGGTACACAAAATATAAATAAAAGTAAATGAATTACAATTTATGGGTGTGTGCATTAATTTTTTCCAATGGTGAATTAATTTTTATACTTAGTTATTATGGACAATAAATAAATCCAATTGTCTGGTATTTTTTGTCATTGAATGTATAAGCAATTTTTTGACTGTTGTTATGCTGAACAGGCATTGGGTCTGTCTACACTCATGGTGTACTTCACAAATGCATTTCAGCATTGCGCCAACATACTCGTGATGAAGACAGACCCAATGCCGGTTCAGCGTGAGTTCACAGACTCGCACACCACCCAGCATCGACTGTAAATTGTTAGTTGTTAAACGTGTAATGGTCATTTTTGAACATTTTCGTCTGCCAATCAACGTTTCCATACAGATGACAGTCGCGTTTCAGTTTTGTCAATGCAAAAATATATTGAAGAGACATCAACGAAGACAACAGGCCTGAGACAGGGACAGGCATCAGAAAAGACCAAGGAGATTCATCGATCTGCATACCTCGAGAAGAAATCACACAACTTGGTATTTGTCGGTTTGCAAGTCGATGAACTCTGATCAGTCTGACAAGTTCAATTTGTTCAAACATAAAAGTTCCAGTACAAAACTATAAAATTGGGTTTTTTCTTCTATGGACGGTCACATAAAACATGCTTGTCAACAATCTCTCAATCATAACATTTTCTATATGATAAACATAATATGAAACATTTTCATATCTAATCAATTATATAAGTAAAACATGTAATTTTATACGTACTTAAAGTTGTCTGCTCGGATATGAAAAAGGAGAGTTTTATAGAAAAAGGACTGTAACGAGGGAACTTAGGGACAGAGAGAATTTACGCGGCGGCGGCACTCTTTTAGAGAAAGGTTCTGGTCAAACACGATTGATTACGTCATGATAGTCTGTTTTTTAATCTTTCACGTGGTCCGCTTCGTCCCGCTGCGTCCTCCTACGACCGATTAAGTAGTAAGCAGAGTTGGGCAAAATCTAATTCAATCATGATTTATTATTTTGATTGAAGTTTAATCATGATTGAATTAGTCATGAGTAAATTAATCATTATATGATTTAATCATAATTAATTCAATCATGAGGTATGACTAAATCATATAATGATTAATTTACTCATGACTAATTCAATCATGATTAAACTTCAATCAAAATTCTTAATCATGATTGAATTAGTTTGTTTTTGCCCAACTCTGGCAACGATGACCAACTTACCAAAATCCAACCGACTCCGGATAAAAATTTTGAGATGAGTCGTGCTCAAGGCCAATCTTCAAAAATTGTTATAAACGAAAACCAAAGTTAAGTAATTATTCTACATGTCTATTTTATTACAATGAAGACCCCCTAGATGGTGTATTTTCCAAATAATGTAGAAATCTCTCCTTTTAAGTGGAATAAATTTTAATTCAAAGAAATATTTTTTCCATTGATCGGTTATCTAAACATATTTACATTTCAAAGCGTAGCTTGTTATAGGATTTTTTATTTTATATTATTATTATTATTATCATTATCATTATTTTTTGGCTTTTCATAACGACGGAGTTTTACTTATAATAGGAAGGTTGATTTTTGTTGAATAAGGTGTTGAAAGATTTTCGTTTCGATGAAATAAATTTCTGTTAAAAAATTTTTTAAAAGTGATGTGTATTTTTCATTTTTTGAGCACCCATTTGAAAATGATTTATCGAAATTTAGTCATGACTAACTATATTGTGACTAAATTAGTCATGCCTCCAATTTAATTTCTAGTCATGACTAATTTAATCATTAATCACATATGGCGACTAAATTAGTCACTTACTACCAATCATGACTAACGGTCTGAGTGATCAATCATTAATCATTAGACATGACTAATTTTTGCCCAACACTGTAGTAAGTAGCATACTCCACAATCAAAAGTTTATTATTAACTTGTCAAAACTTTTTTATTTAAATTTATTTTTTCAAGTAAACTTGTTTTTGTCATACCAATAAGAAAAAATTAGTCTGCCACTGTAAAATTTTAATTTATTAACTACGGGTTTTCTGCTGTCAAGCCATATTCAGGTCCACCATTCATATAATTTAACATTATTGACTACCCCGTATTTGTTCAGTAGTCACAATTGACCATATTAATTATTCTTTTCATCTAGGGTTTTTGGTTGAGATGAAAAATTAGAGACACGAGCGGGGATTCGAACCCACGACCTACGGCTCAATACGCCACTGCTCTAACCACTTGAGCTATCATGACTTTGATCCACTCGGACAGCAACTTGACACTAGAGTTTTCATTTCAACCAAGACCTTAGATAAAAAGAACACTTACTTAAAAATAACCTTTTAATTTCCAAATTAACTCACTTAACATTAAATAACCTTATTTCTACTTAAAATTAACCCATTTTAACTCGAAATTAACCTTTTTTTTTGCTTAAAATTCATCCTTTCTTAACTACACATTAACCTTATTAAATTCCAAATTAACTTTTTAACTTCAAATTAATCCTTTTTATTTCAAAAATACTTTTTTTTATATTCCAAATTAAATCTTTGTAAATTTCAAATTACTTTTTGAATTCAAATAAACTTTTCTAAACTTCATACTAAGCCCGGGGCCTGTGATGGATGTGGGAGTGGAGGCACAGCACCCGCACATCCATCGGAAGGCCTAATAGGTAAAAAAGAAGTAAGAAAATAATATATCCGGCATTATATGCCCGCACCGATCCGGGCTTCCTGGCTTGCGCCAGACTCTGGCCTATGACATTGTGTGCCTGGAATGGATCATTATCAAGGCAAAAAATGACCCAAATGCCTGCCAAAAAAAAAAAAAAAAAAAAAAAAAAAAAAAATCATCCCCAAACTTCATACTAACCCTTTTTATTATTAATTTTGAAATTAATCTTTTAAAATTCTAAATTAATTCTTTTTAATTTCAAAAACCCTTTTTCAATACAAATTTAACATAAAATTAACCCTTTTTTCTAAACCTCAAATTAACCTTTTTTTATATTCCAAAGTAACATTTTTTAACTTCAAATTGAAAATGTAAAAACTTCAAACTCTTTTTAATGTTAAATTACCTTTTTTTATATAACAAAATAATACTTTTTAACTTCAACTTAATTGTTAATATTCCAATTTAACCCTTTTTAACTTTATACAATTCCAATTTAACCCTTTTTAACTTCAAATTAAAGATGTTTTACATTCTGAATTAACATTTTTTAACTTCAAAACAACCTTTTTTTATATTCCAAATTAATCCCTTTTCAACTTCAAATTGATCTTTTTTTTTACTGGAAATTAACCTTTTTTTTAACTTCGAATGAAAAATCCTTTGTTTTTATATTCAGTTGTATATAACTTTTAATTTAATACTAATTAATTTTCATTCTTAAAATTTACATAAGTAACTAAATTTTTTCAAGTTAAAAAAGATAATTTGGCAGTCTGTTTGACCAAATAATTTCTTTCAATTAATTAACCTTTGTATGTAAGGTATTGGTTGAAATGAAAAAGTTAGTGTCATGAGTGGGATTCGAACCCACGACCTTTGGGTAAATACGACGCTGCTCTAGCCACTTGAGCTATGACTTCAAACCACTTAGACACCAACTTCTCATCTCAACCTACAACCTTTGGAATTTTCCCTCTTTTTGCCACATTTTCAAATTTTTACCTTAAGACGAGGTCTAGGGAGGGCATTACCAGGTCACTCATCTTTGGCCAATTGACCAGGAAGGAGGTAGAATAATTAATTTTCACTTTCTTCTTCCCTTTTGATGAGAGACAATTGGAAACTTCCTTATATAAAAAATGCAATGGGATGGTAGGCAAGTCTGCCAGGGTTTGTGGGGGCAGAACCAAATTTCCCGACATGTAGAAGAAAAATGTGAAATAAACTAATCTTTAAAATACATGTCTCAGACTGCTCCTAATTTAAAGAAACTCCAACTTAGGAAGAGTTAAATTTAGTTTTTCAAGTAAACTTGTTTTTGTAATACCAATAAGGAAAAAGTGGCCTGCCACTACATTCAGGAAAGTATAGGGGTAGAGTTAGCTTAGGTTGTGTTATAGTTAGGGGCTGGTTAGGTTAGTTTATGTAGGGTTAGGAACTGGTTAGATTAGGTTGGGTTATAGTTAATGACACGTTATGTTATGTTAGATAGGGTTAGAGACCTATTTCACTATATTGCTCAGTTACAATGTTTTGCTTCAATTTTCTCACAATCAGAGATTGTTATTCAGAGTAAGGGTATCAATCCAAGAAAATCTCATGCTAACCTCTTGGCTACTGTGGTCCCCATCAAGAAAATTGATTAGGTAGTAGGTTTGGTTTCAGTGGTTGAATTTCTCCTATGAGCACGTTGTACATCCTGAAAAACACTTCCACCTGTGGGCAAATGTGATGCCAGTATGCTAATAGGTGGGATCTTACATCATAAAGATGGGTTAGGTTATGTAGGATTAATTTGAATTTTTTCATGCAGATTTAGGTTAGGTTAGTAAATGTAGTGTTAGAGTTAGGGACTGATTAGGTTAGTTTATGTAGTGCTAGGGATTTACTTCACTATATTGCTCAGTTACAGTGTATTGTTTCAATATACTAATTTTCTTGCTATCAGATTGAGTTTTTTTCAAAATGGGTTAAAACATTTTAATATCTATTATTATTTATATACTAACAAACTGTGGCTGTTAGGAGGTGTGTCGGTGCATCCTCTGCTTCTTAGTAGAAGCTGCACATGCCATGTTGTATCATACCAATTTTTTAGATGCCCATTCAGTCTATAGTGTCCGGTTGTTTCTTTCCTTCCAAAATTTGCTACAAGGTTCTTTGATTGTTTGGGTCCAATGAATGAATTCCACTGTTTTCCTCATTCTCATTGTGTCTTTTTGTCTAAGATACATTTTGGTAGTTTGAATCCCTATGGTACAGAAGGGCTCAGGACCTATCAGTGGTATGGCAGCCCCTTTCCCTGCAACAGGGTCTGCTCTCTCATTCTCTACTCTCACATGTTCAGCAGAGGGTGAAACGTTCAATAGGAAGGAACTATTACGAAGGAATTATTAGTTTCACTTGCCTCCAGACGTTTTGTTTTAGAAGAAACCAGACTATTTTTACCTACTAGGACCTAGGAATTATTACTAAATATGAAGGGCTCCATTTATTTTTTCATAAAAAACACAATAGTGGAAACATTTATTTACTATAAATATTAAATATAGTTTTTAAATAGATTGTGTATATATAGAATGTCATTCACCTTCCGTAACCAGACATATTAAAACTACTTTTAAAATATATTTAATTTGTCTCATTATTAGAAGCATTTTGGTACTTGATTGTATAATTTACCCATGATAAAAATACAAATAATACATTTTTTCTTTTTTTTATAATACACATTTACATCAATACAGCTTCACAAATTAAGGTAACAATGTTTTATAAACTGACTAGAATGTAACTACAATGGACTGGTCAAACTCTTGCAATAAGCTATAACAAATTGTATTAATATTGACCTATGCTAAATAAAATGATTGCACAAAAGAAAAGGCGAATAGTACAAAAATAATTCCAAAATTTTCAGACTTTTCAATTTACATGCTTCAATTCATTTTACATGCTCAATACATATAAATATCACCTCAATAAATGTTTCAACAGGATATTACGGGTAGAATGTTATGGCGCAGACTTTAAGAAATCTCAAATGTTTCATGAAAAGCACTGTTTAGGTTTTTTGGGAAGAAGAATTTTATTTGTTAAGATATTGTTATATAAAAGAGATAATCCGTAATAATAAAAATATTTCTGGGAAATCTGGCTCAGTACTTGGATTTGTTAAATTGCTTTTATACCATTAGCTGGTTGAAAAGACATTCAATTTGCAGCGGGACACCTCTACTGATGGAAGTCATCAGTGGGCCTTCCTCTCCAAATATAGATTTTTAAATTAGTTATCAGTTTTATGCAGAGAAGGTTGAAAAGAAAAATTAGAGTCATGAGTGGGGCTCGAACCTACGACCCCTGGCTAATTCCCGGTGCTCTACCACTTGAGCTAACGTGACTTCGGTCCATGGGCTGTCGAGCACGGCCTAGCGAAGAGGCTGTCGAGCAGAATCCAGCACGTCCCCGAACAAAAAGGTTTTACAGAGGGCATTGATAGGACGGCGGAAAATATTATTTTGCTCGACGCCATTATTCGCGATGCGAAAAGGAGGCTCAACAGCCTGCACGTTGCGACACTCGACCTCAAAAAGGCATTCGATTCCGTCAGTAGAGAGGGCCTACTGGCGGCTATAGCTGCAAAAGGCATACCCGAGAAACTGGGATGCTACATCGCTGAGACGCTCAAGGGGAGCACGTACCTGGAGTCAAGGAGACAGAGATCCAGCACGATTCAGCCAAACCGTGGAGTGCGCCAGGGTGACCCATTGTCGCCGATTCTGTTTATGGACCAGATTCTGTTGTTGGTCCCGCCCCATATTGGTTACTGCTTAGAAGGACACAGAATCGGAGCCCTGGCATTAGCGGACTGAGTGGACTCTTCGACAGAGCTTGGTCTTCGGACAGCGCTGGGGGCTTTCGAGTCCTCAGCGTCCAGGTATGGTCTCGAAGTGAACCCGGGGAGGTCGACAGTACTCTCCCTAATACCCAACGGTAAAAATAAAAGGATGAAAATAGTGGAGTCGGCCCGATTCTCTGTGTCCGGGGAATCCCTGACGCAAGTCGGGGTTCTGGACATGTGGAGATATCTCGGGGTTGACTTCGGTACGTCGGGAGTAAGGGAAATGAGGCTAGAAATGGAACTGGGGACACTCCTTGAGAGAGTCCAAAGAGCCCCTCTCAAGCCGCAACAGCGGCTAGAGATCCTGAGGTCGCACTTGCTCCCAAGGCTGTTTTACGCCCTGGTGCTAGGAAGGACAACAGCCGGCCGACTCACCGCCATTGATAGACAAATAAGGAAAGCGGTGAGAGGATGACTGCGTCTTCCCAAGGACACTCCGAAAGCCTTCTTCCATGCCTCTAACAGGGATGGAGGGCTAGGGGTGCCTGCCATGGAGACCTTCATACCAGGGTGCTTCGCCAGAAGACTGGACAGACAGCGAGAAGATGGAAGTGCAGCAGTCCAGGCAGCGATCGGGAGCACAGCGACCCAGAGGCGGGTAGCATGGGCCAGGCAACAGCTGAGGAAGAGGGGCCTCCCGACAGACTCGACTCCGGAGCAGAGACAGCGCTTCTGGGCAGAGACGCTATACAAGAAGTACGACGAGTAAGTAGTGGCGCTATGGGAGGCAAGGAAGGAGAAGGCGTTCACAGCGTGGATATGGAGGAACTGCGGCAGCATCCCGGGTAGGGATTTCATCCAGCACACCCGGACATGGATCAACGTTCTCCCAACAAGGACCAGGACAGCGAGGGGAGAGCGATGCCAGGGAAGGAACCTCCGTTGCCGAGCTGGTGGCGACGCCACCGAGACCCCAGCGCACGTCGTCCAGAGTTGCTGGCGTACCCACGGCGGAAGAATTCTTCAACATGACGCCGTGGTAGCTGCACTCGCCGGACGGCTGAAGCAGAAGGGGTATACGGTTCTCCTTGAACACTTCTTCTCGATGGCGACCGGGAGGTTCAAGCCGGACCTCCTGGCGACGAGGGACGGACTCGGATACATCGTAGACGTTCAGGTCGTCGCGGCAGGACCTCCTCTCAGTGCGGTGCATCGGCAGAAGGCGGAAAAATACCAGAGCAACAACGACCTCACTGGACAGGCGGCGGCAGTACTGGGGACGGCCAACGTCGAGGTCAGCACACTCACCGTCTCGTGGAGAGGAGCCCTCTGCCGACAGTCAGCGGAGTTCCTGAGAAGCCTCGGCCTATCGGACACGACACTCGCACAGATGGTCACCCGGGTTACTGCAAGGGAGCCACACATCAAGGACACGCTTCAATCAGACGACGATGAAGCTGATGTACGACGACTACTGCGCGTGAGGTCTCCGCAGCGATCAAGGAAGAAGAGTGCGACACTTAATGTCGGGAATCTCAATCTTGTAATGAAAAATGAAAAATATGAATTGTAAAACTTGTAACGCTTATAGAGATCAAATACACAGTTTTGATAGCCATTCCTCTTCTCAACCGACTATTATTTAAATTTTCCCGTTTTGCAAATATTCAAACAAAGTAGCATCATTTAGTTGCATTATGATGCAGGATTAGCAACAGGGAAATTTTGATGTAAGGGTAGCGTCCTTAATTATATATTTTTTTTTATTAGTTATAAGTTTTTCTAATTTTTATGCAAAGCTTTTATACCATTAGCTGTTTGAAAAGACATTCAATTCTCTACTGATCATCACTGGGCCTTCCTATCCTACACCACATCTTTTCCTCCTTCGCTTTTCTGCCCATGTAGCAAATTCCCATCAACACTGTATTGATAAGTCTTTATTTAAATTTCCTTTTTTTTGTTCTCTATTCAAAGCCGTTCTTTTTCTTTTATTTTCCTTTCATTTCTTTTCTATATTAATTTTACTTTTTCTCCTCATAAATAAATTGGGTGGTCCTCCTGCTGTTTATAATTTAATTTTGGCTTTTAAATGTACTGAGAGTGACCGAGTGGGATAGGACTCTGAGGTCAATTCTAACCCCTGCCATAAGAAAAAGGTCAAAATTAGGGAAGATTTTTTTTTCAAGATTTAAAAATTGAATTCAACCGAAGTGGTTCTGGTTTGGAAAAAGAATCTTGAAGTACTGACCCCTCATCAGCAACATCCAATGTATGACAAGAGCCAAAACTGGCAAACATATTGCCATTAGTAGACATCGTAAAACTCAGGAGATAGATAGGGATATATACCAGTAGACAATGAGGAAAAAACTGCCATCTTCGAATGTGAATTGGCCAATGGAGGTGTAACTAAAGGTAAGAATTGACAGTCAATTGAACCTTATCCTTCTTAAAAGAAGGACCGAGTCAATTGAATTAATGTAAGGAATTAAGAAATGTACAGTCAGTCAAAAGGTTGCAATACTATTAGAATACCAAACCCTCGCTTCCTATATCCTTCTCATTATTATCATGACAGGAATTACTTAATTTATTAACTTATCAAAAGGCTTACTTGTAAAACACAATGTTTTCAGCTTTAAATTTCACAATTTAAAATGACTACAGCATATTAGAATGATATTAACAAAATAATAAATAAATAAATAAAAAATAATAACATGTTGACTGTGGACTAGCCGAGGTGAACTTACATGTGCGACTCTTCCTTTGCGTTTTAAAGGCTTCCCCCTACTAATTCAGGCACAGAAAACATTTCATTACTTAGAATGTAACAGTACCAAAGTAAAATATATTATACAGTTATAGTGAAGCTTGTATTGTCACGGAGATAAAATCACGATTTCAACGGGGATTCACATTTGGCCAAAGAATTTTCCAAGTACTGTATTCTTCTCATCAATATCATAACCTAAAATAATTTAAAAAAAAATAGTGTTTTTATATACATAATCAAGTAAATATATATATTACAATTAATTAAGGTTTTTAGTTGAGATAAAAAAGTCAATGGCACGAGCAGGATTCGAACCCACGATCTTCGGCTTGATACGCCGCTGTTCTACCACTTGAGCTATCGTGACCTCGATCCACTTGGACATCAACTTCCCATCTCAACCGCACCTTTTGAATTTTCCCTCCTTTTTGCCATTTTTCAAATGTCGTGTAATCTATTCGATTCTCGGCGACAAATGAAATGGCCACGGAGAGCTTTAGTGAAGTGTACTTCATTTTAATTCATTACATTCACTAATTTCGTGGTCCGCTTGACCAATTAATATATTACAATTAATTAAGGTTTTTAGCTGAGATCCGAGTGGATCGAGGTCACGATAGCTCAAGTGGTAGAGCAGCGGCTTATCAAGCCGAAGATCGTGGGTTCGAATCCCACTCGTGCCATTGACTTTTTTATCTCAACTAAAATCCTTAATTAATTGTAATATATTAATTGGTCAAGCGGACCACGAAATTAGTGAATTTAAATATATATTAGAAGATAGAAACCTGTTCTGACTGTTGAGTTACAAGCTGCGTGAACGAGTTCTCAAGCAATTTCACCTTTCCAGTCTTTTCAAAGTATTGCAGACTCGGGCTATTAACAGAAACAAACAAAATCAATCCTGTTTTATATAGTATTAAATGTAATATAAATGATCGGTGAATGGGGTTACGACCAAGGTGAAGCGAAAATAAACCTTTTACCCACAGAACAAGAATGCATAAGATAACTAGCCGCAAACAGCATTCAGTATTTTGCTATCTTCTATGTTAAGGATCGTGCTAACCTGAATGAGTATCGGCAATACCTGCCTGACAAACTACTTCTGGGCCAAAATGCACGAGAATCATCTCAGACAAACTTAGGCTCTAGACGCTTAGGTCATTTTAGTCCCCAATGCAGTGTTTAAACCTGGACAAGTCAAACTTTTTTTCCTATTAACACACCATTCAATCAAGATGATAGAGTACACGATATTCTAACATCACCATTTTACACATGTTATATAACTTATCTAACTGAGGGTTGACGGGTATTCAAAATTCAGCCGTCAGCCCTCTCTCACTACACATTCATGCTAATAAATATGCCTAATCTCAATTAACACAAAACAAGATATCTACAGCTTTTGTCCGCCAAATTACCTTTTTTAACTTGAAAAAATTCAGCAGATGCTACAAAATATAAGCAAATAAAATAAAAATCCTGGAAATACGTGGATTTTTTTAAATATAAACTAATTTGCCAATTAATATGAAAATTAATTGGCATTAAAATTAAGTTATATACAACTGAATATAAAAAGAAATAATTCTTCATTAGAAGTTTGTAAAACATCTTTAATTTGAAGTAAAACACGTTAATTTGAAGTTAAAAAGGGTTAAATTGGAATTTTAAAAAAGTAATTTGAAGTTAAAAATTATAATTTTGTTATATAAAAAAAGTATTTTAACATTAAAAAGAGTTCACTTGAGGTTAAAAAATGTTACTTTGGAATATAAAAAAGGTTAATCTGAAGTTTAAAAAAAGGGGTTAATTTTATGTTAAATTTGGATTAAAAAAGGGTTAATTGAAGTTAAAAAGAGTTAACTTGGAATTTAAAAAGGTTAATTTCAAGTTTAAAAGGGTTAGTATGCAGTTTAAAAAAGTTTATTCGAAGTTAAAAAATTAACTTACAATTAATTAAGATTTTCAGTTGAGATAAAAAAGTCAATGGCACGAGCGGGATTCGAACCCACGATCTTCGGCAGGTGTGGTTGAGATGGGAAGTTGGTGTCCGAGTGGATCAAAGTCACGATAGCTCAAGTGGTAGAGCAGCGGCGTATCAAGCCGAAGATCGTGGGTTCGAATCCCGCTCGTGATATTGACTTTTTTACGTCAACTGAAAACCTTAATTAATTGTAAGATATTAATTGGTCAAGCGGACCACGAAACTAGTGAATTTAATAAGGAATTAAAAAATTAATTTGAAATTTACAAAGATTTAATTTGGAATATAAAAAAAAAGGTTATTTTGAAGTTAAAGTTAATTTGGAATGTAAAACATTTGAATTTTGAAATGCCAATCGAAGGCCTGCTAGTGGATCTCAGTTTGTGCTCCCTTCAGTGGTCCAACTGGACTCCACATTGTAGAACGCAACCTCAACGCCTTGACCAATCTGGTTGACAATGTTGGACCTCATAGACGAAGAGTTGTCTATCAACGTTTAGAAAACCCGGGAATTTCCCATCTGCTCCTTCCCCCATTGTTTCAACAGCGCAATCCCATCGAGCGAGCACACGTGGGATGCGTTGGAGATAAGGCTTTTCAATCACCATCCGCAACAACTGAGTACAACATCGCAACACCTCGAGTGAAATTCCTCATGCAATTAGGGGCAACCTTATTAACAGTCTGCCTACCAGGTGCACAGAGGTTTTAGCTAACAGAGGACATCAAACAAGGTATTAATTGTTTAAAAAAATTGTGTCCAACAAACAAAATTATGGAATTACAATTTTTTATTGTTATTTTTGAAAACCCCTTAATTAAATTTTCACATATCAGATTTAATTCTTACACGGATGCTCTCTATATGGCACCCTTCAATAAACTGGAACACATCAAGCAACCTTTTTCTACATGTTTGACATATTAACAGTCCATATGGTAACGAAATGACTAAAGCCAGGACCAACCTTTAAGCCAGGAACACACTTACCCGATGCTACGCCATGCGACGCTACTCGACGCCTTGCCACATTTTGGTGGGGTGTGCACATCTATCCGACGCAAGCACACGTACAGTCCACAGCGTTTATCACAATAATCACTATCACAATCGCAACGCATCGTTTGTTCTTAATGCACTATTTTGAGCAAAACCTTGTAATAAATTGTTAGTTAAATTTTATGAGCACAACCATCTAATAAATTGTTTGTTAAACTTAATTGTTTTAAATAAAGTTACTCCTAACCATCATAATTAAACAATGTTTATAAAAACTTATGCATTTTTGATCTCGTTTAATTTGGTTTACATTAAAATAACATGTTGTAATTAATATAACGACAAAATTACATGTACTTAGTTTGAAATAAACTACAAAAAATATGAGTGTCCTGTTCTGATGCTACCCGACATTACAAAATGGTGTAATTTTACGAGCAAAACTATGAAATAAATTGTTAATTAAATTTTATGAGCAAAACCGTGTAATAAATTGTTCCAATTTTAGTATATGTACCGCCGAAGCGAGTACAATAAATTGTTAGTTAAATTCATTATATCAAAAAATCGTATTCCGGTGTTTTGATTAATTTTCTACCAAACCATTAAAATTAATTTTTTAAATAAAAACTAATTAATTTTTAATCACAGTTAATTTGGTTTATATTAAAATAAGTATGTTGTAATTAATATAACGACAATAATACATGTAGTTTGAATAAAAATATGAGTGTCCGGTTCTTTTGTCTTCGACTGTACTCGATGCGACCCGACAAAAATTTGGACAGTGGGGATCGCAGAACGTCGGGTAGGTTAGCGTGGCATAGCATCGGGTAGATGTGCACGGGGTAACACAATTTTTTGGAAAATTGGACTTTGGATTTGCGTTGGGTAGCATTGGGTAGCGTCGCATGGCATAGCATCGGGTAAATGTGTTTCTGGCTTTCGACCTGACCACCATTATTCAGTGGTTAAATTGAATTATTATAGTCCTTTGCCCTCCTTATGAGTGAATTGACGTTCAGTGACACCATTTTTTAACCTGGTACTCTTATGGCAAATTTTATTTTTAAATCTCATTTTACCTTGCCCATAAACCCATATACCAACCTATTAAAAATAATAAGAAACTTACAGTAGATCTACTTTGCCTTGATCAATACTGACTTCGACATCATCTGACTTTTCACGGTTCACATAATGCTGGAAAAAAAAATTATTCATATCAAAATGTTTAGTCTGCAGGGTGAACATGTTTAGTTGTTTCAAATCACCCAAATCAGTCAAGAGGCAGGGAAAAAAATCATCAGAAACAGCCAAACTACAACTTTTTTTTACTACTTAATTAATGTGAAATAATGAACCAAGAATATTAGTATATGGGGCCTCTAATTATATGATTATGCTAAACTATGTCTAGTCAGAACAGAAAAAAACAACGACAGTTATACACTATCAGAGTTTTTGGGTTAAACTTTTTTTTATTTTTTTTAATAAGGAGGTTTGAACAGAAATCCGACCACTTTGCCCAGGTTCTGATGATATTAAAAATTAATGATAATTTCCAGTTAAGGCAGCTTTAAGAAATTAAAGAGATCTATTCTGTGACTGCCACCAAACTAAATTAGCTTCAAACTAACAGAAACGTGCATTCTCCACCTCAAATTGAATTCAGTCAGGATGTGCTTTTCTGTTGGCAGTTCCGACAGCTTTGGAAGATTGGGAGAGATTTCCTTGCCATGAGGAATCCTTGGGTAACCCTGCAATGTCCTATTCTTAGACTACGGTATGTTCGAATGGAGGAGGGCCATCGTTTATCCTATCTCTTAATTTCCGTTAGTTTATTGTGGTTAACTTCATGCCAGTTTTCTCAGATTAAGAAATGAGAGGTGTTCCGAAGAAACAATCAGCCTGAATGCCTTCTGTGATGGATAATTTGGCTGCCCTCTCAGATTATTTACACCACTACAACACTCTCAATCAATTTACTCAAAAAATTTCCGATTATTCAGATGAAATTTTCTACAATGCTGTTTCTGACAAAGAAAAAAAAAACATACATGTAATTAAAAAAATTGACATGTTCTTGACTGCATGTACAATTTTAATCAATATTCTTGGTTCACAAATTTAAAAGAAAGTAAATTTAATTTACCTTATTGCTTGCACTTCCACGAGGCAAATTTATGTCCGAGCCCTCGATTTTTTGTAATTTTTGTTGCAAGCTTTTGTAATCATTTAGCGCTTGAATAAGTTTTTGCCTTGTCTCTCTTTGTTCAACTCTTTCTTGCATTAAGCACTGTAAAAAGATCAGTGATGTTGATCATTACTATCAAACCAACAACATAATGAAAAAATTCATACTTGAGTTAGAATTGCAGCTTCTATATCAATGTTGGGCTTTGGTTCATAAGTCGGTACTTCGAATGTATTGGACTCGCTGAAAAATTTAAACGGTGTAAGGTTGGCTAGAATTTTTTCCAGCTTGGTCACATTCTTGTTTAAATTTTCTCTAATACCCTGTTCTTCTTTTGGTCTGAAACATATGAAAAAAAAAATTATCATCATCTTTGTAAAGGTAGTGTGTTGTTTATTTTTTTCAGGGGTAACCAAGAAGTCATTCCAGCGCCACAGGTGAGAGGATGATGGGGGTACTCAATATTCCGCCATTGGCCCTCTCATTAACCAAAACACAAACATACACACACAAAAAAACTCAACGTTATATAACACATGTACAAATATGAGTTAGCTTAAGTTTGATTAGGTTAGGTTAGAGATAAGGTGCTGTTCACTTGACAGTAAATCGCCCGAGAATTCTTGATAGCAACTTTCAGATGAGTTACTCCATCAATTTTCTCATGAGAAGTCTCAAAACTGTGTCCAAAACAATTAATAAAAGAAGGGTCTAGGTTAAGCCCTGGATCACAAAAAGAAATTCTGTGAAATATAGTGAAACTATCAGCCCTCTAGCTGTGTGCGTGTGTATGTACGTGTGTCTAGGTTCAATAGTGGAATATTTTCCCCTCTTTCCTGTGAGTACACTCAGAGTCCTGTCCACCAGCGAGAACAGCTCTCGAGTGTAAAATACTTTCAAGTCGACAGGCACCTTTAGGAACAGGTTAGGTAACATTTCCTTCAATGTTTCTCCATAAGCATATCAAATATACAAGTGAAACGTTTGTTTTGGTTTCAAGTTAAACTCATAAAAAGGACGAAATATAAACTTGAAAATTTAACCATCGCACTTAGTAAGTACATCTTTCTTCATTTTTTGTGGTGTCTCATCACTTTTAATATTACAGTAATGAATTAAATTAAAATAGAATAATTTAAAAAATTAATAATTAATTAAAAATTAAATTCACTAATTTCGTGGTCCGCTTGACCAATGAATCCAAACCGATTACACGACATTTGAAAAATGGCAAAAAGGAGGGAAAATTCAAAAGGTAGGGTTGAGATGGGAAGTTAGTGTCCGAGTGGATCGAGGTCACGATAGCTCAAGTAGTAGAGCAGTGGCGTATCTAGCCGAAGATCGTGGGTTCGAATCCCGCTCGTGCCATTGACTTTTTTATCTCAACTAAAAACCTTAATTAATTGTAAGATATTAATAAGTCAAGCGGACCACGAAACTAGTGAATTTAATGATTTAAAATGAAGTATACTTCACTAAAGCTCTCCGTGGCCATTTCATTTGTCGTCGAGAATCCAATCCGATTACACGACATTTGAAAAATGGCAAAAAGGAGGGAAAATTCAAAAGGTAGGGTTGAGATGGGAAGTTAGTGTCTGAGTGGATCGAGGTCACGATAGCTCAAGTAGTAGAGCAGTGGCGTATCTAGCCGAAGATCGTGGGTTCGAATCCCGCTCGTGCCATTGACTTTTTTATCTCAACTAAAAACGGGGATAAAACATCAAAAATGTAACCTACTGAAAGTCCACAGAACCACTTACAAATATTTTTTAAAAATATTATTCTCAATTAAAAAGCCATGAGGAAATGTTGGGATTCAAACACAGAACCGCGATAAATAAATTTTTTCGCATGAGTATGGCATAAACATATTTTTTAAGCCAGCTGTTGTTAATTTATGTATTTTACAACAAATTGCATTGTACCTCTTCACTTTTTTAGGCCAGGCTGAATACATGTAAGAATCCAACTGTGAATACTGATCGATAACTTCTCTGGCTAATGTTAATGCAACATCGTATGCATAAACAGATGATTCATGTTGAGCAAAAAGCAAGGACATTCTGTAATAATAATAAAAATAATTAACAGTTTTGTTAAATCTGTTTAGATTATTTAAACTTACTGGTTTAATTTCGCTGTGATTGTTTGATTATGTGCTTCTATTATTACTGCATCAGCCTTTTCTTTGTGGTACAATGCCTTCCAATATTCTATATCCTGTAATGAAAAATAAATCATAAATAAACACATTTTTTCATTGTTGAAATGTACTCACAGCTTCTTGTGAAGGAATTTTAGTCAATCGTGGCGGCAAGTTAGTCACACTTTTTGGATTAATTTTACGAGAAACCGGGTTGACACATTGCTTTTTCTCCTTAAACAAAACAATCTTTAAAATATGTTGGTTGTATAAAAGTCAAAATGTAATATCAGTGTAAATATAAGTAGTTTTACCTCTTCATCTGATAAAGTAGGCAGGTGGCTATCTTCTGAATTGTCATCTTCTTCAGTGACTTTCGAATCAACTGGCTGATTTAATTCAACATCTGGGAAAAAAATCGTGTTTGTTTACTTGTACCAATTTTAAATATTACTTCTTTTGTTGGTTAAATAAATATAGTGATTTGTAATTAAATTTAGTTACATTTCCATAAATCATAACAAACTTATTCTGTGTTAAAATAACAAAAAAATTTGGTTTAATCAATAATGTAAATCATTATATTCTTGCAATTTAACCAATAAAAAACAAAACATTATTGATTAAAAAATAATTATTAATATAAAAATAATTACCAGATGTCGTTTCTTCTTCAATAATAGAATGAGACTGTTTTTCGACTTTGCGTGACAGCTCTGCTATGACCGAATGAAGTTCAGTGATTTGTTCTTCATAAGTTTCCCTCATTGATTCAACCATGTAGTCCTATTAAGGGGGAAAGACGACTTTTATGACCAGTGATTTTAAAAATATTATGGATTTTTTCTTATCTGTATTATTGTTAAATGAATTCACTGACCAGGGGGAGGCTATAAACATGGGATTTACATTTTTAAGCACCCTTTAAATCTATTAAATACAATTTTTTATAGCAAATAAAAAATTGACATTTTGTGCTGGATTATCGAAAGGGAAATTTTTTTCACTTAAAAATTTATATCTTCAACTTATCCAATTTCAATGTAATTAGGACCATTGGAAAGCTTAATTTCTCTTCTTTCAGATCATTTCAATTACATTTTTTGATTTTGTGCCATTATAAGACAGAACGATGAGGATGAAATCAACAAACACTGCTCAAATGTTTTATTTTATATCTCAGGTTCTAATTTATTTACAGAGGTCGAGTTTGTGCTATTATGTTTAATTTATATAGTACTAAATCACTGTGCAGTTTCCTATAGATTGGTGGACTCGTTAAAAAATTATCATATTATCACCATGTTTGTGATTTTTCAAAAAGATTTTTATTTTGAAGGCGATTTCTTCCAAAAATTGGCATTTCGGGTGTAAAAAATGAATATCCATTTTCTTTATCGCTAAAAAAACATTTGAACCTATGTTCACTTTTCAAAAAGTGAAAAAAAATCAACCTCTGATTGCAAGAAAATTAGTATATTAAAATAATACACTGTAACTGAGCAATATAGTGAAGGTCTCTAACTCTGACCATAACCCTACCTAATATAACGTAACCTGTTGTTAAGTAAAATCCAACCTAACCTAACCAGTCCCTAACTCTAACACTACTTTTACCTAACCTAAATCTGTGTGAAAAAATACATCAAAATCAATCATTCCTAAATAACCTAACCCATCCTTAAAATGTAAGATCCCATCTACTAACAAACTGTGGCATCACATTTGCCCACAGGAGGAAGTGTTTTGGGATATACAACGTGACCATAGAAGAAATTCAACCACTGAAACAAAACCTATTACCTAATCAAGTTTCTTGATGGTGGTTAGCATGAGAGACTCATAGACCTTGCAGTCGAGGGTTCGATTCCCACTGTCACCTCTAGCCTTTTTTTCATGATACCATTATCCCCAATACGCATACGCATAATAATCATCTGAGACCTTGGCTAATATGCATAGATCATATGGCCATTTAAAAAAAAAAATGTATGAACCAGGACTCACTGGTATACTATAAGTGTAAAACGGGGGGATACAACAGCTCTCAAAGGGCACAGTATATTGCATACCCCAAACATTACATCTTACAACCCATCTTTAACTCTAACCCTACTTCTTTTCATTCTAGATGGTGGAAAAGTCCAAGCGAATTAACTTTATATTTTAAAATCAATCAATCAATCATTCCCTAATACCTTAACATAACCCATCCCTAACTCTAACCCTAACTTTATCTGACCTAACTGAACCTAACCCTGCCTAATCTTGACTGTAACCCTACCTGGCCTAACCTGTCCCTAACTCTAAGCTCATTTAACTTAACCTGTCCTTAACTCTAACCTAACTTCTTTGCATGTTAGGTGGTAAGAAAGGTCTAAGAGACTTAACTTTTCATGATAAAATAAATAAATCGATCAATTATAACTAACCTAACCCATCCTTAGTTCTAACCACAACCTTACCTAACCTAACCAACCCCAAATAAAGGTGATATTCATTTTTTGTAACCCCCCCCCCCTTTACAAACCTGTAAAAGATTTTTTCTTAGCTCCTAAGGCCCATTGATATGTACTGGGCCTTACCTAATAACCCCGCCTAATCTAACCCATTCTTGACTGTAACCCTATCTGACCTAACCTGTCCCTAACTCTAAGCTCATTTAGCTTAACCTGTCCTTAACTCTAACCCTACTTCTTTGCATGTTAGGTGGTAGAAAGGTCTAAGAGACTTATCTTTTCATGATAAAATAAATCAATCAATTAATCATAACTAACCTAACCCATCCTTTGTTCTAACCACGACCTTACCTAACATAACCAACCCCAAATAAAGGCGATATTCATTTTTTTGTAACCCCCCCTTTACAAACCTGTAAAAGATTTTTTCTCAGCTCCTAAGGCCCATTGACATGTACGATTAGACTTATCCAATATTTTTAACCTAGAGCCAATTGGTGATCCCACATGTGCAGCCTCGCCTTATGAGTAAATTTAAAAAATAAAATATGAAATAAACTTGGTGATGAAACAGTTCAATAGGAATGGGTTAACTAACAATAAAATTTTAACTATGCCAAACTTACTTGACATCTCTCTATTTCCTTTTTCAAAGTGTGGAATTCAAGGCGAGCTTCCTCAAGCAGAGCAGTCAGTTGGGAAAGTTCACTGCGTAAAGAATCAACAGCAGCCATATGAAGCTAAAAAACAATACACGTTTGGAATAATTTATTGTAACACATCTTAAGCATACACTTACCTTGTTGGCGAGCTCAAGAATTCCTGTCGAACTGCTTGGAGCTATCGAATTCCCAGGCAGTTTGATTAATCTTTGCAAGGTGTTAGGAATCGGGCTGAGATCATGAGCGCCTGAATCAAATTCCCACATTTCCTTGCTGGCGCTTAGTCCACCTGATCATAAGAATATTAAAAGACACACTGAATATTTTGCAAATAATTTTAAGATTAAGAAATTTCACTTATGTTAATAGTGAAATTTGTTAGTTATAACTTGATTAGCTTTCTTATCACGCTCCCCTCCCCTTTACGATTGGAAGGATTTTCCAAGGTAATTATGCTTGAGAAATAAAAAGACAGAGAGAGAAAGAAAGAAAGAAAGAAAGAAGAGAGAGAGAGAGAGAGAGAGAGAGAGAGAGAGAGAGAAAGAGAGAGAGAGAGAGAGATGGGATACTAGAAAGACTTGATTTTAATTGAATCACAATCCCTAGACATTTATATATTTTCTTTATTGTCTACAGATTAATAAATAACCGGAAAAAACTATTTCCACATACCCAAGCTTGTCCCGCTGCTGCTTAGATTTGGGTCATTCCCTCTGCATTTACTGTCACTGTCCTTGAGTGCCCTAATGTCAGATTTCAGGGCTAGTCTCTTTTGCAAAAATTCTTCAAATGAAACCATTCCATTTTCATCGGCCCCTAATTCGACTAAAATATCTTGAAGCACATCCTCCATGTCGAGCTCCTGACATACAGACTGTAAGTCATTGCTAAAATGTACCAAAAAAAAAAAGATTATTTAGAAATCATGTGTCTTTTAAATATATAAATATTATATTTGAGGAATTAGCTGGAAAAAAATGCCTACTATTTAATCTAGCCCTAGAGAAAGCAATCCATGATTCATTTAAATTACAGGAGCTATATTTAACAGACTAGTTCAGGTTCTTAGGTGATTATTAGGATATTTTAGATCCAAAGCCATGGTAGAAATTTTCTGATCTCTGGAGGTAGTAGGGAAAAGACCTAGGTCTAGCTGTGAACCAAATACATGGTCTCTGGCCATCTGGTTAAAGATTAAAAGAAGTTGTTCTCTTTTCGACCCACACAATGCGTCAAGTATTACTCCTTTTGCCATTTCTTGTTAATATAATTATTGAGGTGTGTCACTATGTCGGAAGCTGTTAACCATGATTTTACTATTCCTGAGTTGGCAGCTTCTTTTGCTAGAACATCAACTAAAAATACGTTCATACTCTTGTTGTCTAATCCCTGCTTGATCAATGGGTTCTTCATATGATCGCTTCTAACCGCTGATAATACACTAAGGCTGTCCGATAGAATTATGGATGTTTGATTAAGGTTTTTCGCTACATAGTTGACAGCCTCCAGGATACCCACAGCTTCGGCTGTATAGGCAGAACACATCTGGGGGAGTTTAATTTGAATTGTAGAGTTGTCCGCAATGTTTAGAACTGTGGCTCCAGTTCCGCTGGGGGATTTCGATCCGTCGGTATACAATATTGTCCCATCGGGACATCTTCTTGTTTCAAGGCAACAAATGATTGACTCTGGCATTCCTAAAGCGTTTCTATGTGACTTAATTACTTTAGGAGAACTGCTTTGTAGCTTCCATGGGATGATGTCCGTGGGCGAAAAAATCATTTTCCCTAGGCAGAGCTCTTTTAACCGCATAAAGAATGGTACTAAAAAAAGATTTTGATGACTTGTTGCAGTCTGTATGGAACGTTGATTCACGGTTTGAACAGCTTGGAGTTCGCTGTCTGCTAATTTTGTTGATAGGTATTTGCCGGCTAGTTTTTCTCTCCTCAAATATAGTGGCATAAGAACGGCTTCTATTGTTAGGGCATTTGTGGGGGTGGAAGCCATAGCACCTAGGGAACATCTTGTATCTTTATGCTGGAGTCTGTCTAATCGTTTGCAGATGCACGGACCATCCCTAACCAGCTATATATACAGGGTGTCCGAGTTCCTTCTGACGAAACTCAGGGAATCGATTCTACTCTTCGTTTGGAGCAAAAAATGCCCAGGAGAAAATTTTCTTAAAGTTCTCTATGTTGAAGATATTCGTCAATTTAGGTTTTTTCAACAACAAATCCAATTGCACCATTTGAAAGAACGCTAAATTTGCTGTTAGCTACTCCTATTTGCAATAATCTGTACGATATAAAATGTTAGCCAATATCTGTTGGAACATGTCAAAATTACAAAATTTAAAATTTTGGTCATGATTGCACGTTCTACCGAGGTTACAAAAAAATACCTACAACTTGTCAAATTTCACAAAAACTTTTTCATGTAATATGCTTTTCGTTGATATATCCAGGTTTTTAAATAACGTTCTATTAGAGTTGAAAAATAACAATTGAATGTTCGAAAACGTGAGCTAAGGTAAATTTGAAGGAACCAAGGAACCAAACATCCTTTCCAATTCAATTGTTTTTGGAGCATTGCAAACTGCCTTCGTTGTTGTACCGTTGACTCAGAATTCATGCGATCTATTTCAATGGACGCACCTTCAGTTATTTTTAATGACGTTGGCCCTCAGTGTATTGAAGAAATAGATAAATTTATGTTGCGTAATGCAAGTTGTTCTTTAATATCTTGTAATGATAGACCCGCGTTTCCTTCAATGATTTCCTCAATAGCGGCTAGAACGTCAGGGGTCAACTTGTGCAGCCGGGGTCCACCTCTTTTTTTAATTACTAACGGACAGTTTTGAGACGTATAATTTCTGTAGGGGTGTGGCACCCGGGCATGCTTTATAAACTCAAACGCTTCCTACCCACTCCCTATTACCTTATCCTGAAATCCTGCCTAACAGACCGCTGCTTCAGAGTGAGGTGCAGTAACGAGTTCTCTGAAATTAGGCCAATACAAGCCGGTGTCCCACAAGGGAGTATCCTTGGTCCTATCCTTTATACCACCTATACTGCTGATCTACCTACTCACCCAAATACCATCATTACCACCTACGTGGATGATACCGCAATTTTGTCCTCTAACTTGAATCCTACCCAAGCTACCTCTAATATCCAAGAACACCTTGAGCTCATCGAAGGTTGGTGCAAAAAGTGGAGGACAAGATTAAACGGAGAAAAGTGCATCCAATGTACGTTCACTTTGAAAAAACAGTCTTGCCCTCCACTATACATCAACAATGAAGAGATACCGACTTCCACTCAAGTCAAATACCTAGGACTATACCTTGACAGCAGACTGACGTGGAATCCCCACACAAGACTTAAAAGACAACAACTCAACAGAAGACTTGGACCAAAATCCGGGTTAACCATCAGCACTAAACTTACCTTATACAAGACTTTACTGCGACCACTTTGGACATACGGTGTGGAACTGTGGGGTTCCGCCAAACCATCCAATATACAGCGTATCCAGTCCTTCCAATCAAAAGTCCTCAGACAAATCGTCAAAGCTCCTTCTTACGTCTCTAACCTCACTATCCACAAAGATCTCAACGTTCCTTTTGTCCACGAACTGATCCATTTCCGATTCCAAAAATTTCATACCAACCTATCGATCCATCCTAACCCTACTGCTAGAACCCTCTCCACATATTCCCATCCCGGGAATCCACCACGTCGCCTAAAACGACGATGGCCCCGAGACCTCCTTGCCCCTTAATCTATTAAAATGAGTGCCAGCACTGGCTGGCTTCTCATGGCATGCGTCCTCCGGGTGCAGCACTGGCATCAGTGTTAGTGCTGTGACCGAGCGGTGAACAATATACATTGTGATCACATTGTATTATGTACAAGTATGTATAGGCTACAAATAAATAAATTAAAAAAAAAATCTGTATATACTGTAGCCAGTTCGAGTTTTTAAATTTGATTTTTGAGCTGCATCTTTGACTGAATGACCCTTTTATAAAAAGTTCGTTTTGATGCCTTGATGTATCTGCGTACGTACCTCTGCTCAGTCTTGAACGTTGGACACCGGACGAAGATGAACCGCCTGAAGCACTAGGTCATGTTTCATCATTATGACCAGTCACTTCTGTCTCTCATTCTATATATATAAAACTCACTCAATGCATACAATAAGACGTGACAAACAACTGAATATTTTAGGGGTAAAGAAACCAAGAACAGGGGAAGAAGAATTTCCTAGAAATCCGTCTGGGAATGATAAGGTAGGTTGGCGAACTCAATGAAATATATAAGTGAGATTAGTTCAAACGAAACCAGCTAATAAAGTGTTTCATGGGCTCTATATCATGATTGACGCTATGCTCCACGTTTTTTTGGAAATAAGTATTAATTTTCTTGAGAAAGGACCAATTTGGTTGGGAAAAATATTAAATTGCTTGAGAAAAGTATTAAATCGCTCGGGAAAAGTACTAATTTGGTCGGAAAAAGTATTAAATTGGTAGAAAAAAATACCAATTTGACTGAAAAAAGCTATATAAGATTACCAAAGTTATTGTTAAACTTGAGCTTACCTGTCGATATACCCGTCGCCGTTTTTGTCACAGACTTGAAAGAGCTTTCTGATCCTTTCCTCGTCGCAAATCGAGCTCGCCTCGCTGCAAGTGGACAATACGTCGACATCCCTGGACGAGTGCTTCACTTCAGACTCCATGCTAACAGTCAGTCAAGTTTTCAAAGTAAAATCAGCCACTGTGCCAGTTAGAAGACGCATCCTCTTGCTTCATACAACTCAACTGTTCGCCCCTTTCCACGGGTTTAAAGTAAAACGTCCGACTTATTAATTTGATAGTCAATAAACCAAACTTTAAAAATAAAAATAAAACCTTTTATGTTATAACAGTGCAGGGATGAGGAAATGTCATCAGCGTCGGGATAGGTGATAGGGTTTGTTACTTGTTATCACCAATCGATTACTTGATAGTGCTTAGTTTTAGTGTTATTTCTCGTGGCCAAGTTGGAAAGTCCATAAACCTCTTTATATCTTCTGTCTGGATTTTTCAGTTTTAATTTTCGTATTTTAGTCGTCAAATTGAAACAATTAGTTAAGACAAAGGGAATCGATGAGTTCGATGTTTTGACCTCATCTCTCTTCCCCTCCACAATTCTATTGTTTTATTTATTGTTTTGATAGTCGAGCTATTCTGCTGAAGACACTCGGCTCTGCTTTGTTTTGGTTATTTTAAATCTCGGTTATTTCTTCCGTTGAACGTACAGATTTGTTTATAGGCCGTGATGTCAGACGATCGCGGTGTGATCGGTTTAAGGTTCAATCAGGACCAAGGTGATTTTATTTTATTTTATTTTATTTTTACTACTCGCCTGCGTAGTAACACTTTTTTGTCAGAATGTAATGATTTTAACTGTTTCAGGATGCTTCACTTGCTGCATGGAAAGTGGGCTGAGGTTGTACAACGTCGAGCCCCTCGTCCAACTTGCCAACTATCGTAAGGCCTTTTTTAACAAATCACACAAAACACTCTTGGTTCCATAATTTCGCATAAATACATTGACCAATTTAGATATACACAAAAATCGTCACCTCTGTTTTATATTTTCATTTAAAACAATCCGTTCAGTGCATATGCATGTTCATCCTTAACTAGCAAAAGCGTACACAGGGGAACATGGGGGGGGCAGCCCCTAACGCTGGAAAAAAAAGAAGTAGGTAGTCAACTTCAATGCTCAAACTATGTCAAATGTTGCTCAAACCACCAAAAATTCTGTTTCTTGTAAAATTTCATAGGAAAGAAAGTGTCACTACAATGGAAGATTTTTTTTGGATTTGTATATACAGGGTGTTCGGCTACTCGGGGTACAAACTTTGCCAGTGGATTCTACATTCAAAATGGAACCAAAAAGTCCTAATTAACTATGGTCCAAATCTCAACAGTTTCTGAGTTTTCCCCTTTTTTCTGGTTTTTTAAGATTTTATGACGTTGCTTCAAATAAACAATGACAACTCCAAAACTAAAAGATTTTGAACAAATGCGTTGATACCATTGAAAACTATGTTAAATTTCCAATAAGATGTGATCAATACTAAACTTGTAAACGTTAGTGAAATAAGCATTTCAGTAGCTAGAACATCGAACATTTTTTTTTTCAAAGTTGAAAAATTTACTATAGTGATTCTAAACTACAATTTCCAAACCTAGAGTCCAGCAAATTTCAGAAAACCCTACTCCATTTAATATCCTTTTTAGTTGTGTAATTGCTTTTTCAATTACTTTCTTCAAATATGAAGAAATTGATGAAGGAAAGGAAAAAAAGCATGGTTGACGAATTGGTGAGGTGGAAAGAGTAATAATAATAATAAAAATATCTTAAGGAAATTTTCAATGAATGAACTAAAAACATTTTGAATCTTAAAACTCTTTTGTTCTGGGGAATAATGCAATAATCGTTTAATCAAAGTTGGAGTAGTTATGTTAAATAAGTAAACACTTGCACTATTTTGGTTTCAAACCCAAATTAAAAAAGGTTAATCAATTCATTTCAAATTTTTTTAAGTTTTATTTTATTTATTTATTTTTTTAATCTTTCCACTGTATCAATCCGTCAAGCATGGTTTTTTCATTTCCTTCATCAATTTCTTCATATTTGAAGAAAGTAATTAAAAACGCAATTAAACAACTAAAAAGGATATTAAATGGAGTACGTTTCCTGAAATTTACTGGTCACTAGGTTTGGAAATAGTAGGTTAGAATCACCATAATCAGTTTTTAACTTTGAAAAAAAAAAACTTTTCAAACTTCTGGCTACTAAAACGCTTACTTCACCAACGTTTACAAGGTTAAGACTGATCATATCTTATTGCAAATTTAACGTAGTTTTCAAAGGTGTCAACAGATTTATTCAAAATCTTTTAGTTTTGGAGTTAACATTGTTTATTTGAAGCAAGGTCATGTAATCTTAAAAAAATTAGAAAAAGTAAAACAATATCTCAAGAGATTCGGGCCATAGTTAATTGGAACTTTTCGGTTCCATCTTGAATGTAGAATGAACTGGCAAAGTTTGTAACATGGGTGGCCGAACACCATGTATATAGGCTAAAATCCGCATCTGTACGTACATACATACAAACATGTGCCACCCGCAATTCTAGCTTTTGCTATTTATAGTAAACTGCCGGCAGACTCGAGAATCATCTACCCAGGTGTTGCCAGTCCACGGGCAGAACTCAGTCTTATCTGTCCAGCCACCGAGGTTTGGTTCTGGGGGGGGGGGAGCTGTCAAAAGCTAGGTCAATTCAGGTACCCACCGCGTGCAGTTCCAAACCCATTTGTACTCATGTTCTTCTTAATTACATTCACTTCTATTTACCATGCCATTCTTTTAATTAGGGCGATGGAATACTCGATATTCCTCCATCACCCTTTACACATATACAACTAACCTAATTGAGGGTCGATGAATGCACAATAGACCAATACAGTTCACAGGTCGTAAAGAGGGTCGATGGGGTACTCGATTGACTTTCTTCCATTGACCTTCTCCCATCACACATTCACACTAATAAATACATTCACTGTCAACACAATTTTTACATATATTATACAACTGACCTAATTGACACAATGAAAGATGAGTTGACAAAGGAAAGGTGTTCAAGGTGTAACCTAGTGCCTTCATATTAAACACCAATATGTCTATTATTGGGTTGTCCGGAAAATAATGCAGGATTTTAAGTTTTCATTAAAAAAAATCTATATAAAATATTCTGTTTACGTTTACAGGATTACTCATTTGTATGAATGTCAACACTTATTAATCCTCTTCCAAATGATATTGTTTGTTTACCTCTGTAGCATTCCGCTACTTGGAAATAATTCAGTCATCCTTATAATGTCAAAGCGAGAATTTCGTACGATTTTCTTTTACGAGTTTAAACTCGGCCGAAGCGGAGCCCAAACGGCTAGAAACATTAACCAAGTCTGGGGCGAGGGTTGTGTTAATGAGTGCACTGTGCAAAGGTGGTTTAAAAAATTTCGGGAGGGAGATTTCAGCCTTGAAGATGAAGAAGGTCGTGGAAGGCCTTCCTCTCTTAATGATGATGTTCTGCGATCAGTGGTGGGTGCAGAGCAACTCAAAGTCAGTAAAACGACCGTCGCTGACCACCTCAAGGCGATTGGAAAAGTGAAAAAACTCGAAAATTGGGTTCCACACTCATTAAACGATCGCCAAAAAAATCAGCGCTTTGATGTTTGTGCATCACTTCTTTGTCGAAACAAAAATGACCCATTTCTGGCCAGAATTGTTACATGTGACGAAAAGTGGATTCTCTACGATAACACTAGACGTTCTGGACAGTGGCTCGACAAAGGAGAAGCTCCAATACATTTTCCAAAGCCCCCAACTCATCAAAAAAAGGTAATGGTTACGGTATGGTGGGCTTCATTTGGTTTAATACACTACAGCTTCTTAAATCCTGGCGAAACCATCAATGCTGAATCATACTGTAACCAAATTAATACCATGCATCAGAAATTGGCAGTAATGAAGCCCTCTTTGGTCAATCGGAAAGGGCCCATTTTGTTGCATGACAACGCTCGACCACATGTGTCACGTGTAACGTCACAAAAATTATTGGAGCTTGGCTATGAAACTTTGCCTCACCCAACCTACTCTCCGGACCTCTCGCCTACTGACTACCATTTTTTTAGACACCTGGACCACTACTTAGAACACATAATATTCAAAAATCAAACGGAACTGGAAAATGCATTTATTGACTTTATCAATTCTAAAAATTCTGAATTCTACTCAGACGGAATTAATAAGTTACCAACACGTTGGGAGAAATGTATTGAGAGTATGGGAAATTATTTTGATTAAAGAACATTGCTTTAAAGTAACTAGTTTCTTTTTTTTTGTTTAATACCAAAATCCTGCATTATTTTCCGGACAACCCAATATTTCACTTAGAAAAACTTAAAAAACTTAGAATATGTTTAATAAGTACTTGTCTACAATTTCTCGTTTCCGCAAGTTGGGTTAGGTTAGATTAGGTTAAGGTTAGAGGGGTGGGGGGGCCATGGCCACAACAATTAAGCATTGACCCAGTATTCATCAATATAAAACAAAGATACCAGGATCAAATCCAATGGCCCTGCATTTGAACCTGATGTACTTAGAAATAGACTGTTTTGTAAAACTCGTATTTGAATACTTTGTAAAAAGAAAGGTTTGGAACGGGTTATGGACAAAAGTTGCAATTTCCTCTCCGACCTTTGTTTAATTTTTATAGACTAATTTACTAAAATCGTATTTTCAGCCATCGACACCATGGGGAGCCTTTCACAATGCGAGATGCTCAAAATGACAAACATTTTAGCCTGCATTGCTGGAGGTTCTCGGCCTCAGTTTGCAAATAACTCAGTACTACTCTACGATGACAATACATCGACATCGTTTCTTGTTCTTATTTTCTCATCACCTGTAAAATCCGTCAGACTGAGGAAAGACAAGTTCGTTTAATTTTTCTTCCTGTTTCTATGGTATGCATGGTGTGTTAAATTTAATATATATATATTATTTTAGAATTGTAGTAGCCACTGTGTCGCAAATAAATGTCTTTTCGTTTCCTAACAAAGTAGAAAGACTTTTTACTCTAGAAACACGTCACAATCCAAAAGGCTTATGTGAAATTACGCCCATGTTGACCGGGGAAAGGCATCTTCTCATATTCCCCGGTCACATAATTGGAAGTATTCAGATAGTGGTGAGTCCACCATTAGAATTAATATAAAATACCCGATTTATAATATGTATTAATTATAGGACTTGGCGAATACAGAAACTGGTACAACAAGCGCGCCCATCACAGTCAATGCTCACCAAAACGAGTTGGCTTGCCTAGCCATTAATCAGCAAGGGACTTTGGTCGCAACGGCTTCAGTGAAAGGGACACTGATTCGAGTTTGGGATACTGTCAAGAGGAAATTACAAGTAGAACTCAGAAGAGGGTCTGATCCTGCAACAGTATATTGGTAATGATTAGTCTCATATTCTAAATTATAATAATCCCATTTCATACTTATCTATATAAAATGTAATAATAAAAATGTAATGTAAAATAATAATAAAAGTGTACATATACTAGACAAAATAGAAGTTGGTTTATTTAAGTTTTATTTATCTTATTTTCCAGCATTAACTTTAGTCAAAATTCTGAGTTCTTGTGTTGCTCAAGTGATAAAGGAACAGTGCACATATTCGCCCTTAAAGATACTCGCCTAAATAAACGATCATCGTAAGATTCAACTTTTTATTTTATGATTACTTATCTATTATATTATCTGTCTACTATAGTATTGCATTAATTTATCATTTTGTTTGTAGATTCTCAAGAATTAGTATATTAGGAACATACGTTGAATCCCAGTGGGCTTTAGCTACATTTACAGTGCCAGCTGAATGCGCTTGCATATGTGGATTCGGTTCGAGGAACTCTGTTATTGGTGTGTCTAATTGGTCAATAATTAATATTAATATATAAATCAAATAGATGTGAGATCACAGATTAATATACTTTGATATTCATAAAAATTTATATTTAGGAGATTTTTTGGGTGCAGAAATATCAACTTTGTTCCAAGCTAAAAAATGTTCCAAACTACTTAGAGAAAAAAAACGAGAGAAAAGTCGCGTCTATTGTATGTAATTATTTTGTGACTGTGCAACATAGTAAAGAACTACATAGTAACTCTAACCTTACCTTACCTAACCTAACATGCTGTAATTCTCCCTAACCCATCCCTAAGTCTATCTAACCTAACACACCCCTAACTTAACATGTCCCTACCTCTAATCCTACCTAACCCATCCCTAACTCTATCTAACCTAACACACCCCTAACTCTTACTAACCTAACATGTTGTAATCCTCCCTAACCCCCCATCCCTAGCTCTATCTAACCTAACATGTCCTTAATGCTAACTCTACCTAACCCATCTCTAATGCTACCTAACCTGCTATTTTGAAATACATCCACAACTAATGCAAAACCCCTTAAATTACTTTTGCTCTTGGCTTCTAGGGCTCGTTGCCAAGAATACTTGAAAGGTGTCTAATAATTTTTGACCTAATATCACCCAAAGAGAAATTCATTGAAATCAGTGATCCCACATCAGTAGTTTGCCAATATTGTTCATAGCTTTTGTCTTTTTCTTATTTTCTATTATGTTAACATTGTTTTTAAATTGCAATTAAGGTTTTGGTTGAGATAAAAAAGTCAGTGTCATGAACGGGATTCGAACCCACGACCTTCAGCTAGATACGCCACTGCTCTACCACTTGAGCTATCGTGACTTTGATCCACTCAGACACTGACTTCCCATCCCAACCCCATCTTTTGAATTTTCCCTCCTTTTTGCCATTTTTCATGAAGATCGTGGGTTCGAATCCCACTTGTGACACTGACTTTTTTTAATCTCAACCAAAACCTTAATTAATTGAAAAGAATTTATTTGATCAAGCAGACCATGAAACCTAATAAAATTGTTTTTAAATTTTCAGCAATTTGTGTTGATGGGACTTTTCACAAATATGTTTTCAACGCCGACGGCAATTGCAATCGGGAGAAGTACGATGTTTTCATCGATATAACTAATGACGATGACTTTTGAAAAACAAATACGTATGAGCCTAATATATTGATGAACACCGTGTAAATATTCTTGTAAGGGACTATTTTAACATTTTACCAATTAAAGCTATTATTTGAACCAGTTGGAAAGTTAAACAAAAAGTGATTCTGGAGAAATATCTATAATTTCTAACAACTCAAAAATCAAAATATTAGTCAAGAAACCGATCTCTTTTTTTTCACATTATTTTTAATGAAGTGATTTTTAATTATTTTTTGTGCCTCATCTGTTGATATTTTTATGTAGGTTCTTTTACTCATAAAGGTATTTTTATTTTAACTTGCACAAATTTCCAGTTTGTTTATATGAGTAGGGTTTTAATAATATAAGCATGTCTGACTGATTTTTGGGTCACCTTTGATTGCTCATATGAATTGTGGTTTTTATTTTAATTTTCTGTTAACCAGAAGGCAGTTTTTTTTAATCTGGTTAGGACTTATCAACCTAGTTGTTCAACATATCTTTTGCCTGACTACATGATTCAGCAAATTCAGTAAAAGATTTTGCATATGAATCGTTTTTTTTTTGTTTTTTGTTTTTTAAATTTGGTTAGGACCTATCAACCTTGCTGTACAACACATTTTTTGCCCGAGTACACAATCCGGTTATCGAGTGAGCTTTTTTATTTTATTTTAGTATATATATAAACTTTAACTATAAAATAATATAAAACTAAAATATACTTTTTTATATTTAATAAACTGATTAAAAACGTTTACTCAGTTAAGTGATATTCAGATGAAGGATATTAAAGACAGTCGGACACAGGATGCAAGTTTTTGTTTGTTTTTAAGGTGTTTTGTTCAAAAGAACATAAACATAAGAAAAATTGGTTAAGTAGGTTTGTAAAAAAAAAAAAAATGTACATAATGGAATTATTGCCAGTATAAGTAGAAATTTATGGTGTGGTTTGAAAGTTTTAAAACCAATCCACATTTTTTACACAATATTTTTGTACAAACTGCAGTACAAAAATTGGTTTCATGTAAACACAATCATGTTTGTTTGTGATACATAGTCATTAATCATTTTACCTTGTAAATAAAAGGCCGTTTATAATAAAAGGGCAGTTAAAAAAAAACATTATATGAAATAAGGCTGATTTGACTTATGTTAGCATTTTCATTGTTGATGCTTGAATGTTTAATTTTGTTACAAGTTATAGCCGTTCTCTGTCAAATTAACCCTTTTTATTTAATAGAAAATTAACTCTTTTTTGGCGCTAAATTTATTTGTTTTAACGTCAAATTAACCCTTTCTTTAAGGCCATACAAAAACTTAGGAGATGGTGTAGAATATAAGCATGCAAACTTGTAAAGAATATAAAATGGGTTATGATATANAAAATAGGGTTAATTTGATGGAAGAACGCTAAATATAATAATAGTTTTTAAGTATTTGGTTTTTATTCTGTAAATTTTTTTTTTTTTGAAATGATGAATTCTTGTAATTGCTTTTAAAATTGTCTGCAAGAGTAAATTATTTCAAAACTATTTAATAATCAATGTGAGCATATAATGGGTAGAAATGAACCCTTAATTACCGTGTTACGTTGTTTCCCCCTTTATTCAGAAATATACTAAAATAATGCAAATAAATAATTAACTATAAAAGTGTGAATTATTTTTGAAAGGCTAGTTTAGACAATTGTTAATACTACTGTCAGTTTACCGCTTGTTTATTCATTAGTGAAGTTTTTTTATATTTGTGTACAGTTTATCAAAAGGCTGGTTGTTTTATTGCTACAAAATTATTGTTCATTCATGTTGCAAAGTTATTCCTTAATAAATCAAATTAAAAAAATTCAGTGCAGTAGCAAGTACAAGAAACATTGTATATTACAAACTTTTTCTGACCGAAAAAATGCCTGCCAACATTCTTATAAGTTTTCAAAAGGCAAATGTGATATGTAAAAATCATTGTACTGTGATAAAATATAATTTTTACCAAAAAGCAAAACATGTTCATTATTCTTAATGTAATTCTAAACCCAAAATGTAACGTTCACTTTCCTCACTCAGGAAGAGATCATGAGGCCATTTTTTATGGCAAAACATATAAAAGCGTATTTTTTGTAAAAAAAACATTCAAATTTTTTTTTATTGTAAAAAATTTTAATTTTGTTTTGAGCAAAAAAATTTTTTAACTTACCTTACTACATCACTCAGTCTCAAAAGATACAATAGCTTGACTGTAGGTTGATTCGTTGCGAATGACCATTTTTGCATTTTCAATTTCGTATTCTGAGGAGTGCATATGCACATGGGGTGGGAAAGGTTTAGCTAGATTAGGAATGGTTAGATTAGGTTTGGCTAGGTAGGATTAAGTATACAGTTAGGAGCAGGTTAGGTTAGATTATTGTAGGGTTAGAGTCGGGCAGGTTAGGTTAGCTCGAGTTAGAGTTGTGGGCAGGTTAGATATGGTTAGGGTTAGTGTTAGGGACCAACTTTGCTATGTCTCGATCAAAAAATAATTGTGTGTGGTATTACAATAGATATGAATTAGCTTGACTGCAGATAGATTCTTTTTGCGTGACCATTAACATAAGTGCACATGGGTTGTGTTAGGTTAAGCTAAATTAGGTATGGTTAGGTTAGGTAGGGCCCTTGATAGACGGGAGTAGAGGAATCGAAGGAATCAAAGGAATCGCAGAGTTGATGAGTCGTCAAAAGAATCGAATCGAAAATAGCGTAAAATACATTAAAAAAACGTGCCTACGAGCCTTTTACATCGAAAAAGACAATACAATTTTTTTCGATTTTTTGCGTTTTTGTTGAAAAATACGTAAAAAAACGTGTCCTACGAGCCTTTTACATCGAAAAAGACAATAAATTTTTTTTCGATTTTTTCGGTTTTTTTTGCCTCTTGAAAATACTTAAAAAACCTCTCCTGTTTTTTTCTTCTTTCTTGAAAAATACGTAAAAAACGTGTACGAGCCTTTTACATCGAAAAAGTAAAAAAAAACTTTTCCGATTTTTTTGTTTTTTGCGTTATTTTTTTTTTTTTTGAAAAATACGTAAAAAAAAAGTACTACGAGCCTTTTACATCGAAAAAGCAATACAAAAATTTTCGATTCTTTTGGTTTTTTTTGTATTTCTTGAAAAATACTTAAAAAAACCTCTCCTACGAGCCTTTTACATCGAAAAAGATAATAAAAATTTTTTCGATTTTTTTTCTTCTTTCTTGAAAAATACGTTAAAAACTTGTCCTACGAGCCTTTTACATCCAAAAAGACAAAAAAAACTTTTCCGATTTTGTTTGGGAAGATAAAAAACCCCATAAATTATCGAATATCTGCGAAAAGGGTGATCTGATTGGTTCATGAGGGCTTTTTGGTTGCATTTGAAGTGTAGAAGCTCCTGACGAATTTTGTCGTACTAGAGCGAATCTTCCTGTATATGTAAGACGGCAGACGCTTTTTCCTTTTTTGTTTGGCAACACTGTGGGCAACACTGATTCCGTGAAGTGTAAAGTAAGGATAACATCACATTTGTTCATGTACGATTATTAATGAATGAAGAAATTGTTTAAGAAAAATCTAGATGTAATTAAATCACCTGAAGATTACATACTAAATTATAATACATTGTAATTTTTAATTAACAAATTATTAAAGGCCGTTTTGCATGTTATGAGAACGAAGTAGAACCACGAAGGCCATTAAGGCGGTACGTACAAGTATATTCTATCAACGGACACACCTGTTGGTCGTATTAACAGGGAATCGATGTAAAGGAAGGCTTTTGTTAAGGCCTAATTGTCTCACAAGAACCACCCATTCACGGTCTAATTTCCCGTATCACTTTATGTTTTTATCACCCAACACATCCCAGATAAAAAGAAACATTATAATTATTATAGAAACACGAGGTGATTTCGAAACAAGCCGAATTCCTCCTTTTAACGTCGGTTTAGTTCGAGCGTGACTATAGTTAATAACAGGAAGAAATAATTAACGTTTACGCTGGAAACACTTTTGAACAAAGTGAGTGTACAAAACGAGGCGATTGTTTGGCAGGAACGTTAATACAAACAGACAACACGATGATGAATTGTTCGAGAACTAAAGCAGGTCAATTTGTCTTGATAAGTAGATAGGTTGGTCTATCTACCTATGATAGACCTAGATATAGGTCTCGTAGGTATGAGGCTACTAGCCCTTTCGCACTGCGTCCATCAGAATGTGTTCATTGTACTCTTCCATGGGTACAGCTCACTATCGACTTTTTATTAGCCTCCATAGCCTTGATAGAGACTACTTAGCTTTATGTACTGTATTCAGCTTTTCTTTGTCCTCGACTACCTTTTCCTCAATAAGTACTTAGGTGCCCCTTCTTTGAAGCAGAACATAAACAGGCTGTCTTCTCTCAATATTTCTAAGTGTCTATTAAAATGGTTGGCGGCATTGCTAACGCCATGTGATGTCGCTGGGGGCATCTTTGGGGAGGTTAAGCGTTTCCTCTGAAATTTGAACGTTTTTTCCTCAAGTGTTTGTTTACTTCTGTCCGGACCTGATGAATTCATTATTACTTCGGTCTCCGGTATTCTTACGTGTATCCTGTACGAGCTATTCACTCTTCTCTATTTACCCCTTTCACCACTATAAAAAAATTCCCTTTCTCGCTTTCTACAAAACCACTCTCATCGGCAGACCACGGGGGCTAAGCAACAAAGGGAACAGTGCGGTTCGTGCCCAAAGTCCTGCATCTCCTCGACGCCTCCCTACCCAGAGCCAGAAATGTAAGTTCTCTTATTTTTTCTTTCTTACCTCAATTTTTTTCAGTTTTCTATATTTCTTTTTATCCTCGGCATCCTTGCCGAAACAATTGCTCCTCCGGGCCTTATAGCGTATAAAAGATAGCGGGAAAAAGCAAAAAAAAAAAAAATGGACCTCCTTTCTGCAATCAATGATTCATTTGCTAGCGGAATGATAAGAAAATTTTTTTTGGAAATGGTTTTGTCCCTTCGTTTTATCTAATGGGCAATGCAAATTCCTCTTTATTACAGGAATTACTCGAATCATACAAGTAAATATAATTCAAGGGCTCCATTCATTCTTATTGAAAATATTTGCGGATATTTTCATTTAAGGACAACTCAAGCGCAAAAATTGTTTATTTATTTATTTAAATAATATCAACAGGAGTGAACGACATTTTCAGGCTCGATCAGATAAGACCGGGAGGCGGTCGACCGCCTGCCACCGATCACGCGGAGATCGCAATCGTTCCGACCTCCGCTCAAAGATGGCACTGGCTTGTCCTAGGGAAATCAGCTTTTCACACGGAATTTTATCTGAAAGTAAAACGATCAATGATATTTTCAACGGAGCGGATCAATTGTCATGATAAGCTCTTTCAAATACAAATGTTTTTCGACATGAGGTACATGTGTCCGTTTGTCACAGTTTAAAACCAGTACATATACTGAACGCAGTCAGTCAGTTAAATCAATTTTTTGACAATTTATAGCAAAAATTTTCATGTTGTATAAAGAAGAGCCATATCTACTCTATACCATCGTATTTCCAAACTTTGGCTATTTACAAATTTTAAAATAAATGTATTTGCAGAAACTGGCTGAACGTAAAGCAATAATAAAACCGCATACAACATATGGGATATATGTGGTGATTAGTGACCGTTAATCGATAATTATTCAGAAATCGTGAGATGCGGTCTGATGTGATATAGGTTTCAGAAAAACATTTTCTTTATCGTGCCAACGTTTCGATCTTTATTGAGATCATCTTCAGGACTCAAATTGTTTCTTTTCTGTGTAGATGTGTCATTATTGGGTGTCGTGTTGAGGGTGCCATCTACACAGAAAACAAACACTTTGAGATCTAAAGATGATCTCAATAAAAATCGAAACATATTCAGAAATCGTGAGATGCGGTTTGGTGTGGTGTAGGTTTCAGAAAAACATTTTCTTTATCGTGCCAACGTTTCGNATGTAAACAATGTTTGTAAATCCCAGGCCCTGAAGATGATCTCAATAAAGATCGAAACGCTGGCACGATAAAGAAAATGTTTTTCTGAAACCTACACCACACCAAACCGCATCTCACGATTTCTGAATAAATATTGGATATACATAAAATTCACTTACAATCAGGTAAATAAATTAATGTGTGGTGTTTAGTGACCGTTAGTTAATGATTATTTGGAGATTGTGAAATGCGGTCTGGTGTGACGTAGGTTTAGAAAAACATTCTCTTCATCGTGCCAACGTTTCCATCTTTAAATTCACTATTTTCGTGGTCCGCTTGACCAATTAATAACATTCAATTAATTAAGGTTTTTAAGTTGAGATAAAAAGTCAGTGTCACGAGCGGAATTCGAACCCACGACCTTCGGCTTGATACGCCGCTACTCTACCACTTCGCCTAGCGTGACTTCGATCTTCTCGGGCATTAACTTCTCATCTCAACCCCATCTTTTGAATTTTCCCTCCTTTTTGCCATTTTTCAAATGTCGTGTAATCGGATTAGATTCTCGGCGACAAATAGTTCTAAACAAAAGTTTTTTTGTTGTTTTCCCCGATGTTTGACAGTGCCTTGATGCAATCCAGTTTCTGATATAGTGTCTGCCCAGGTCACGATCCAAAACTACTTTTCCATCATAATTCCGTTTGTCTTTACGAGGTCTGAAAGTAAAATCATTAAATTTACTAATTTCGTGGTCCGCTTGACCAATTAATATATTGGCAATTGAAAAATGGCAAAAAGGAGGGAAAATTTAAAAGGTGCGGTTGAGATGGGAAGTTGGTGTTTGAGTGGATCGAGGTCACGATAGCTCAAGTGGTAGAGCAGCGGCGTATCAAGTCGAAGGTCGTGGGTTCGAATCCCGCTCGTGACACTTGACTTTTTTATCGCAACTAAAAACCTTAATTAATTAAAGTAAAATGATGGTTTTCTCAAAAACATGGCTCAAAGAGCTTAATTGGATTATGGAACTATAAAAGGCGCCTCCTGAGTGCGCAGTGCCCAGCTCGCAGTCTTATCATCTTTCTAGTCCTAGCTAGTTTAGGAGTTCTGCCGTTTGATGAAATTTTCACACCACTCTATCCTGGAATTCCCATGAACCGAGGACTTATTCGTACGGTTTTGTCTGATGGATCTACATTTTTGGCAATTCGGTATGCCGCAGAAGATTCATGTCTGATAGGTGTCCTCATCGTACTTTCCTTGGCTTCCTAGTTGCCTCTCAGCCCTTTATGCCCTGTTTCCGAAACAAGTGTAATGTCTCACAGAACTTTGGTGTAATCCCAAATAGATCTGGATTTTACTTCCGCTGTAGTTACCTTTAGCACGAGTAGGTGGCTATTCTTTTGTAGGTTATAGTATTTTGATACCCTGCAAACGAATGGTAATTTTTTTCCAAGGTTTGACAGGTACTTGTTGAAGTCCAGCTTGTGATATAGTGTCCAGTCCAGGTCTGAATCAAAATTGCTATTTCTTTATGATCCCATTTGCCTTTTGGTGGTTTTCTTTAGAAACCTTGCTTAAAAAGCTTAAGAGGTTATGGGTCTATATCTGGATGCGATTCCGTGAATGCTCCCTGAATTCTTAATAAAAATAGTTTGGAGGCCTTCCAGCAATCACGAAAGTAACGTTAATAACGTACTAAGTATGAAAATCACACAATAAAGTATAAAGTCTAAGTTTGCAGTATTTTGATTATAAATTTTACAACGATTGCATGCACTTTTATAACGGGTGGTTCTCTTAGTTCTCCAGGGAGATCCCTGACACCAGGGCTTGACTTGATTGCATGTTTTGAAATATTCTGCGTCCTCTTTGTGATTTCGACCCCCTCGTGTGAAAACTGTTTTCAGCCTAACAACCTTCGAAGGCGGCGTTTCCCCATCAGAAAGTGCTAAATTAGCTTCTTTGTCCACACGATAGTTAAATGTAGAGTTCGCGTGAATTCTCCTTTAGATTATCCATATTTGATTGCCGTTTTTCTGTTCAATAAGTCCGACTTTTCAAAATAGACCGCGGGGCTTAATCACTGGAATTATTATGAATTATTGTCGGTAAACATCGATTACCCTTGAAAGCTTCCCGCCCAAAAATTAGTTCATTAGTCTTATGTTATACCATCAATTGTCAAAAGTAATAACGATCAGGCCGAGAATAATTTTTCTTTTTGCATCTTTTTACTCACTCATGTGTCTATAGGGAAAGAACATTTTTTCTTTACATTAATTAATTAAGGAAATATATTTCCGGATTTAAAAATAATATATTGACGAATGTGTACAAAATGTTTTCAATCCGTATTTATAAAATATACTTTTTTTCTTCAAATTAACGAAGTTTTTTTTACTTTTATGGGTTTTTTAACAAGCCAAATTCACCTGTAAATAGTTTTTGTTTTTAAATTGTCTCCGGACTTTGGCATCAGTCGGTTTGTCTTTGGGCGAGTGCTCAAAAATTAGTTGTTTCAGAAAACCAATTACTTGCATTTATGTGCTTCTCAAATAGTCGTAATCGCAGTTTGAAAATTGCATTAAGACGTCAAATAGTTAATGAATTAAAAAAATCGACTCGATCAATCGTTACGGATTAATTTCATACGTCCATAGTACTGTGGGGAGAAGAAAGTGGTAAAGGACAATTGAATTTGTTCGTTCCAATTCGTATTGCTTAGATCTGGCTGAGATGTAAATGGGATGCAAATACAGGGTGTTTGGCTATTTGTGTTACAAACTTTTCTAGCAGATCGTACATTCAAAATGGAACCAAAAAGTTCTAATTAACTATGGTCCGAATCTTAACTGTTTCGGTTTTTCTGATTTTTTAAGATTTCACGATCCTCCTTCAAATAAACAATGATAAATCCAAAATTAAAAGGTTTTGGTCAATTCCGCTGATGCCATTAAAACTGCGTTTTATTTCCAATAAGATGTGATAAATACTAAACTTGTAACTTTGTTGAAATAAGCGTTTTAGTAGCCAGAACTTTGAAAAATATTTTTTTTTCAAAAATTCACTAATTTCGTGGTACGCTTGACCAATTAATATATTACAATTAATTAAGGTTTTTAGTCGAGATAAAAAAGACAATGGCACGAGCGGGATTCGAACCCACGATCTTCAGCTAGATGCGCCGCTGCTCTACCACTTGAGCTATCGCGACCTAGATCCGCTCGGACATTAACTTCCCATCTCAACCGCACCTTTTGAATTTTCCCTCCTTTTTTTTTCAAAGTTGTAAAAATTACTATGGTGATTTTAAACTGCTATTTCCAAACCTAGAGACCAGCAAATTGCAGAAAATATATTCCATTTGACATCCTTTTTAGTGGTGCAACTGCTTTTTTAATTACTTTTTTCAAAGACGAAGAAATTGATAAAGGAAAAGAAATACCGCGAATGAATAAACATTTATTCAAAATACTTGTACATTATGTTACATAAGGTTTCGTTAATCAGGGGAAGTGGCGGGGCACTTTTACGTCCTATTTCAAAACGTTTTCCTATCAAAATATATCACAGATCCTAGATTTATGTATGGTGCCTAATTCTTCTATGTTTCCATGGAAAGTTAATATCATACACTCTTACATCCCTACAAGTAGTGTGTGGTGACTAGTGACCGTTAGTCGATAATTATTCAGAAATCGTGAGATGCGGTCTGGCGTGATGTAGGTTTCAGAAAAATATTTTCTTTATCGTGCCAACGTTTCGATCTTTATTGAGATCATCTTCAGAGCCTGGGATTTACAAACAT